AGGGCCGCCGTGAAGACAGGCATTGTTTGGCGTAAGGCTCAGCCATCGGCGGCTCCAGAATTTTTAAATCAGAGGGAATTGGTGGGTTGCACACATCGAATAGGGGTCAGTTCAGAGTGGGGGTACAGGGAAGTTTGAAGCAAGGTTTACAGAGCACTGACTACGGAACGCAGAAAATAAAGGCAGGAGCGGACGGAAGTGGAGGGGCCCCTTGGCTGGGCCCTGAACCTGACCTGTAGCCCTGCCCTCGCTCCCAGCCCCTGACCCTGGGCAGTAGCACCGCTCAGTGTTGGTCCCACATTGTTGAGATGGGCTGTGTCCTGGTACTCCGCTCCAAAGCGGGCAGCGCCTCTAGTGGGGTGGCAGAGTCCCTTTGCTCCTCCGTCCCTGCTCAGCCTAGGCAACTAGCGTAGGCGGAGGGGGGAAATTGAGCAGGAAGGGGGAGTGTGCAGGTGAGTGAACTCAGTTCCTTCTAGGACATGGCTGCTGCTGTTCTCCCCCTTCTGCCATCATTCCCCCCTCTTTTGTATCACCCCCCTCACTACACAAACTGCTGTAAGAGTCCCGTGTTTAAAGAAATCTTCTCTTTACCCTATGTCCCTGTCCAGCTATGACTTTTATTTTACTCCCCTTAAGAGTGAAATTCCTCGAAGGAGTTGTCTGTCACCCTGTCTCGACTTGCTTTCCTCCTGTTCTCTCTTGAATCCACTCCAGTCAGGCTCTTGTCCTCCCCACTCCAATTCTCTGAATTAATTCCCTCCTCTCAAGGTCTCCAAAGACCCCTGAGTTATCAAATCAATGGTGCTTTCTCAGGTTTTCTCTGACCCCACGTAGGAGGAGCACTGGTCCAGGCTCACTCTGTCTTTCCCAGGCCTCATGCCTCCTCCTGTTCCATTGCTGCTGCTTCTCCCCCTCCTTGGGAGGTCCTCATCTGTTCCCCAACCTGGCCATCAGATCTTTTCGCTCTACACCTACTCTCTGAGACCCCCTCCTGTGGCCTTCAATAACACCTATATGCCAAGGACTACCAAGTTATGTGTCTAGCCCTGACCTCCTCCCAAGATCTCCAGGCTCTAATAGCCACCCACCTGTCCAACCTCTCTACTTGATGTCTACTAGATATTTCAAATCATTATGTCCCAATTTAAACTTGTGATTTCTCAACTCCCTAGCTCCTTCCTCACCTCATTAAATGGCACCACTACTCATCCACTTGGTTCAGTAAAAACTATGAAGGTATCCTTCCTTTCTCTTCTCTGTCATACTCCAAATTCTGCAAATTCACCTTCAGAATATGTCCCACATCTGGCCACTACTGCCACCGTTGTTGCTGCCACCCGTTAGGAGACCCCTTAGCAGTCTCCTAACACATCTCCTTGCTTCTTCTTACCCACTCCAGAATCTTCTTGCAGCAGCCAAAGTGATATTTTTAAAGCAGAAATCGTACCACATCACCTTTGGCTTTTAGCATTCCAGTGGGCTCATGTTGCACCTAAAATAAAACTAAAGTCCTTAAGATGTACATGACACTAATAAACTGGTTCCACCTCCTACCTCTCTCCTCCTTAGTCACTCCATTCCAGCCCCTCTGTCCTCCTCACTGTTTCTCCAACATGTCAAACATATTCCTGCCTCAGGGCCTTTGCACTTGAGGCTCCTTCTGCTTGAAACACTTTCTCCCAGTTATCTAAACAACAGGCTCTCTCACTTTGTCCAGGTGTCTGCCGAGATGTTGCCTCTGAAGAGCTTTCCCTGATCATGCTATCTAAAACAGCAGCCCCCTGACACCTCACCTACATCATGCACTAGTCCGTATCCTGCTTTATTTCTCCCCATGGCACTCACTACCATCTGACATTATATTAAGCGTTTGTTTCTTCATTGCCTTTTGTCCCCTTTAAAATGTCAGTCCCATGAAAGCAGGGGCTTGTCTGACTTGTCCATCATTTCCCCAGTGCCTGCCCACAATGTCCCTACTGTGAAGGAAGGATGGAGAGAGTGAAACAGCAAATGAGCAAAGGAAGAAGGGTCAGCCTGGGATCCTGGCAGTCCTCTAGCAGACAGGACCCCAGGGACTATGCAAGACTCACACTTGGAAGCCCACTAGATCTCCCTGCATAGGCTGCCGGGGTAGAGACAGGCACTGGGCTAGGACACACTGCCCCCTGGTGGCCAGAACACGTGGAGCTGCAGGGCAAGGCCCCTAAAATCCCAGAGATTTGTTTCTGAAGACTTTCGCTTCTGGTCTGGTGGGAACCTCACAGCAACTGCCATGAAACAAAGAGGCTTAGATTTGTAATAAAGGAAAGCACACCAGATTGGGTACCCAGAGTCCTGGGTCCTAGTTCTGGCTATGTCTCTGACTCTCTGGGTAATCTTCAATGTGAACTGGGATTTGCTGAGCTGGCAAGGGCTGGCTTGCCACCGTGGGGTGGAGGGGCCCCTGCTGCAGCCACTTGACTGGGAGCCTCCTTGTCTCAGCATTCTCTACGACAGGCAGCCAGTTGGCTCATGGGAAGACGTTACCATCAGAAGGAATGTCCATAAGTGGGCCCAAAATTTCCCTCGCCGTGGCTGCAACATCCTTCCAGGCTTTGTCTTCTGTGGCCACAGACACCCTGGGACAGCACTGCACACAGTCCCCTTCCCCCAACCTCCCTTCACATGACATTTGGAGATGAATCTTAGACACCCAGAGTCTTGCACAGCTGCACGCTTAAATCCAGAGCTCATTGGCAAGGAGAGGTCTGTGCTGAAGACGTGCCACGTCTGTAAGACATGGAGACAGGATTGGCTCACTTAGGATAATGATTCTGAACCCTGGATACACACTGCAATCACCTGGGGAATTGAAGAAACAGCTGGACTGAAGCCCTATCCCCTGGGTGTGGGCCCAGGTGTGGGCATTTTTTGAAGGCTCCCAGGTGATTCTGTGCAGCCAGGGTTGAGTTACACTGTGTCTGAGGCCAGAGCCCTGGGCAGAGCTCGTGCAGAGGAGAGAAACTGAGTGAAAGAGGGGTGTCAAGTGCTGCTGAGAAGTGGGGAGAGTCCTGGTCACAAAGGGAGACCAGTTGCTCTGCTTTTGGCAAACAAGGAGGTTGGTGATCCCAATAAGAGCCATGTAATGACGTCGTGGGCACCACTGGGAGACGAGTTGGAAGGGAGAATGGGAGGAAAGAAAGTGGAAATGAGAGTAATCAAAAACTCTTTTGATGACTTTCTCTGTGAAGAGGAACAGAGAAGTGGGGAGGCGCTGAAGGAGAATTCGAGGTCAAGGAAAGGTTTCTTTTAAAGATGTGAAATTATAGAACATGTTGGTGAGGCTGGAAATGATGATGATGGAATTCATGGGTTGAGGAGAGAGGAAACAGCTCAGTTTGCGAGCTCTGAGGAGGTGAAAACAGCTGGGGTTAGAGCACGAACGTCTTAGGAACAGATATTCCTTCCAACATAGGTCAGGAAGGAGATGGTGCAGGTATACTTGCAGGTGCACTTGTAGGTAAGATGGTGAGAGGTGGAGGCTGTTCACTTCTGTTGCCACTGTTTGTCTGGGTATCTGCAAGGTGGGAATTGGCAGGGATGGAGAGAAGGCGAAGGTCTTGGGGATAAAAAAAGCAGCTACTCTGGGACATAGGATCTCTGGGCAGTATGGTGAGACTGTCTCTGGTGAAAAGAATGCAGTCAGCCTGGTTACATGAATTTCTCTGGCCATGGGCAACTGCCTGGCACTGTTGGAGGCTGGGGCTTTGCTGGACAAATAAGTTGGAAGAAGACAGACGTGCAGGGGGTGACTCCGTTAGGGGAGCACAGAATCTAAGTAGGACAAGGATGGAATTGTGGACAACAGTCGTACAGACAGTGAGAGAAGGGTCACTGTGGTTCCGCGCAGCTGAGGAGGAGCCGTGTGTGCCATGCTAGAGGCAGTGGGCCAGAAGGACAGGAGGAGGTGGCTAGAGGCAGATGCTTGGAAATGACTGTTACTGTGAAGTGACAATGGAGCATCGCTGTCATGAAGACAAGGTTCAGGATGTGCCAAAGGTATGGGCAGCTGGAGCAGAGTTGTCAAGGGGCCAGCAGGCCAGGTCCTCAGGGGCATGGTGCTTGTGTACATGGAGGTCCCAGGGGTGGTGACAGGAGTAGCGTGAGGGGAGGACAGTAAGGCAGGCACTAAAGTCTTCATGAGACTTGCTTATCTCCCTCTGGGACGTGGGCTCCTTGAACACGGCCATGTCCCCAGCGCCTAATGCAGAGTGGGCAGATGGTAAAACACGCAGTTAAAAATGAATGAATGCATGCCTGGTATATAGTCTTTAGTCTTGACAGTTGAGGAAACTGAGGCCAGGGGTTCCCCAGAGTGAATGTGCAGTTAAGTGTCTCAGTGGGAACAGGGGTTTTGGGTGTGCATGTTTTTGAAGTCCCTTTCACCTGCTTCCCCCATGCCCATCACCTCCTTCCCAGCTCAGACTTTCTGGTGGTTTCCAGTTTGGCTCCCTCAAATTCTGTCTCCATACTGCTCCTTCCTTAGTCTGTCCCTCCACTGAGGATTAGACCAAACTCTGCAGGACCATCAGGCCTCTCATGTTGGGCACCAACTTCCGCTCAGGCCCTTGGAGCATTTGTGTACATGTTCTTCCCTTGGTCCCACCACGCCCACCCTTGGCCTGGAAACCCCAGGCTCCCTGCCTGCCCTTCCCATTCCATCCAGAGGATGCCTCTCCCACCAGCAAACCTCACTTCTCCCTCTGCCCGACTGTCCAACTCATTTCTGCTGTGTATGGAGCCATAATTATCTGCATCCTGCCTGCCTGCTGGACTGGACTAGAGCCTACTGGCAGCAGAGGTCAGGTCCAGGTCATCCATGTCCCTAGAGCCCAGCAGAGGGCACTGGTTTTTGCTGCAACACATATGAGGGAGGGTCTGTGTGCCTGTGTGGACCCCAATGCCACTGCAAGGAGCTAAAGCGAGGAGGTGCGGGCTGTGGGCTAGAACACAGGACCAAGTGGGGAGCTGAAGGCTTTATTCTCAACAGACCTGTACACTACACACTCAAGGGCGGGCAGGGCTCCTGAGGGGCCTCCCCAGGCCACCTGCAGTGTCCCCAAAGGCCAGAGTGGATGCAGGGATGTGTCCCCAGATGTCCATTGTTTGCCTGCCCTCCTGTCCCAGCCAGGCTTCTCCAGGTATTCAGGGCCGGTCACAGGGGGCGGGGCCCTTCTTCCGCTCCCGGCTCAGCAGCGTCACCAGCTTGGCCTTGAAGCCCGAGTGAGCAATGGGGCGGCAGGAGCCCTCGGCTTCGTCACCATTGCTGCCCAGCTCCAGCTCCAGCAGCCGCCGGTACTGGGCCTCCAGGCTGCTGTCGTGGGCCGGGCTGGGCCAGCCCAGGTCCTCGCTGTTGTGGTAGATGGGGCTGTCTGGGGGGCTGCGGCCGCCGGGTCCTTCCTGCACTGGGTCCCCCAGGTTGGGCGGTGTGGGGCCGGCCTCCAGCGCACACAGGTTCTCATAGAGGTGCTCGGCGGCACGCGGAGGCCCGCTGGCCCGCTTGCACACGGACGCATACAGCCCGGGCTCAGTGGGCAGCGGGGGCAGGCTCTGTGGTCCAGGCTCGGCCAGCCGCACCCTCTGGGAACCAGGCAGGTCGGGCCCGGGGGGCACCTCCCGCAACTCCCCAGGGGGGTCCAGCGAGGGTAGGGAGGTGGCCCGTGGCAGGGGGCAGGGCCGTGGCGCTGCCAGTTCAGGCAGCAGCTCCCGCTGGCGAGCAATGGCAGCGGCCACGACCCCGCACAGGTCTCGGGCTCTGGGGCTGCTGAAGGCGAAGAGGCCTTCGCCCGAGTCACAGCGGCGGCCAGCTTCGAAGGAGAACACGCCCTGGGCACAGGTGACATCGTTGGGTCAGTGGCCAAGGGGCCACCTGCCACCCCCACTCCCTGCAGGCTCAGCCCCTCACCTTGTCAGAGCCAAACTTGCGGAGGAAGCGGTAGGGCCAGGAGTAGAGGGCCTGCGGGCTGGCCGGCTCACTCAGCTGGATGGCGTCCTGGCCCAGCAGCAGGATATAGGGCCCCTTCAGCTGGCAGCGGGCAGCCGCCTCGGTCCTCTGCACCACCACTGGAAACTTGCCCACTGCAGGCAGAAGGCACAGCTGATGGGTCCTCCAGAGGCCCCAGCCCCGGCGGCGGTGGTGCTGAGGCTGCCCCTACACCTTCCTGACTCACCTTCCTGCCAGGAGGAGTAGATAGCGTTCTCCTCCATGGGAACCAGATCCCGCTTGGGAGCCTCCGCCTCCCCTGGTCCAGAGGAAGATTCCCCTGTGCCCTGGGGAATGGGTCAACAACAGAGGTTAGAGTCATCCCTCCTCCGCTTCCTGCATCCTTTCTCATGGGGAAAAATGGCACTTGGGACTCTGTGACAAGTAAGTCCACCCAGGGACCTGGCACCAATCCCAGCTCTGCCCCTGACACACTGCACCCTGGGCACCCCCTGAGCTAATTTCTCCCTCTGCAATCACCCCTGCTCCCCCTGGAGGGTGCTGAGAGCTGTAAAGCAGAGGCACTGACAACAGGGTGGCCCCCTCACCCTTGCACTAGGCCAGGGGCCAGGCCAGCCCATGTGTGTCCCCCATAGCTTAGAGCAGTGAAGGGGCAGGAGCGTCCTCCCCCAGGCCTCTGGCTCCATCTCACCCCTCCCTACCCCTCATCCCTTCACACACTTGGGCCCTGACTCTCAGCACCTCTACCACCACCACCTTGGTTGGCCCTGGGTAGTATGGCCAGGGTCAAATGCAATGGGTTCCTCACTGGTCTCCTTGCTCCTGTTCATTTTCCTTCTTTTTTTCAAATTTTTAAAATTAAAAAAATTTTAATTAAAAAATTTAAATATACAATATAAAATTTTCTATTTTAACCATTTTAAAGTAATTCAGTGGCTTTGAATAAAGTCACAAGATTGTGCAATTATCACCTTTATGGAGTTCCAGAACTTTTCATTCCTCTACTTTGAAAGCCTCTGGGAAACACCAACCTGCTTTCTGTTGCAATGGAGTTGCCTATTCTGGGTATTTCATGTAAATGGAATCATATAATACATGTCTTTTTGCGTCTGGCTTCATGTTTTCAAGGTTCATTCACAGTGTAGCCTGTGTCAGTGCTGCTTCCTTTTTGTGGCCGAGTAATATTCCATTGTGTAGACAGACCACATTCACTTTATCCATGATCAGCTGACAGACATTTAGGTTGTTTGTCCCTTTGGGCTACTGAGAATAGTGCTTCTCTGAACATTCTACTACAAGTGCTGTTTGAACATCTGCTTCAATTCTCTTGGGAATTGTTGGGTCAGGTGGTAACTCTGTTTCAGTTTTTGAGAAACCACAGACTCATTTCCTTTTGGTCCATTACAGACCCTGTAAAGCTTTAAAACTCTCAGTCATTGACTCAATCCCAAAAGCTTCTCCTCTCACTCGGAATAAAACCCCAAACTCCACATGTGGCCCAAGGTGGTTTCAGCTGGTTCTCAGCCCTTGCACTCCTTGCCCTCCAGCCACACTGCCTGCTTTCTGCCCCTTGAACACACTAACCTTCTCCCTGCCTCAGGGCTTTTGACCATGTTGCTCCTTCTATTCGGGACACTCCTTTGACCTCAGTGTCTGGGACATTGTTTCCTCAGATGTTTGCCTGGTTGGTTGTCCTTGAGGACTCAGGCCCACCGTCCCCTTCTGAGAGGCCTTCCTGGACCATCCTGCCTAATGTCCCCTGGTTCACTCCTAGTCCCACCCCAGCCTGGCATTTTCTCCATAGCTCGTATGGCCATCTGAGATTTGTTCTGTGGCTTCTGGGCTGTTTTCCAGGCTCATAGGTACTTGGCAGTTACTTGCTAAGTGACAGAATGAGTGAGCATGGAATGAATAAGGTGTGTGGGGGGGAGGCAGTTCCCCTGGGCCAGCCCCTGAATGCCCTGCCCTCCTGCCCTGTGCTCACCGGAAAGGCCAGTTGGCAGATGGGGCCCATCCATTCCTGGCGGTGCTGTGCAGCCAGCAGGTGGCTTCGCTCGGTGGTGGTGAGCAGGAAGGCACTGGTGTCCCGGGGGCAGCTCTCACCGTCAGCCGGCAGCACAGACACACAGTCAGCTAGGCGAATGACCCTCCGCTCCCCACGCCGGCCGGGACCTGCAGACCTGTCACCTGCTGGCCCAAGGCCACCATCCCGGAACTCCCAGCTCTCCAGCCGTGCCACGCCTGATGGGCCTCCTGCATACAGCAGACCCCACACCTTCCGCCAGGACTTCTGGGGGAGAGAAGGATGGGGGTGAAGACCTTCCCTGCAGTTCAGCTCAGCACAAGCTGCTCAGCAAATGCTTCTGGCCACTCAGGCGGGCCTCTGCCTCCCCCAACTCCTCAGGGCCTCAGAAAAGGCCTTACCACAGCCAACCCAGCAGGGAGAATAGTCTTTCAGTTAGCCCTGGGTTCAGATCTACCCCACACTTTCCTAATTGGTACCCTCATAAGCACTAGTGTCCTGGTCTTCTCATGAGGCGGCCAGGGTGGGGCTTCTACTATTGTAGATTATGTCTGTAAAGCATCTAGCAGCTGGAACAGACCACCCGACACTGCCGGTTATGTTGGTGGACCTCCCTCCCCCCACCTCCCAAAAAGGTTACTTAGGCCACAGGACAAGGACTGGGGCTGACTGAGACCACCCTTTCATGATGGTAAGGAAGGAAACATGCAAATAGCGTCAAGCAAAGGAAACAGACGGTTTATCTGCCTGGGCAGCAGCTGCAGCTGAGCTGCGGGGGTGTAGGGCCTGCTGCCTGAAGGTAAACCCCCCCACTATGTCCCATGACAGGCTGGGAGGAGTTGAGCCCTCTTCTGCAGGGTGGGGCTCTACCAGCTCAGCCCCTGGACTGGCCTGGCCCTGGAAGGGTTGGAATGCTGTTGGAGTAGCCAGCCTCCCCACTCTGCCCTGCCCCCAAGGTTTGGGTTCTTAGACCCTCCTGTCCCGTGGCTTCCCTATCTGTAAATGAGGCAGGGTCTCACTAAAGCCTGCTCAGGCTCAGCCCACCTGCTCAGGTTGAGGACAGGTCTCTACCCACCCCAACCGCTGGGTTGGATCCCCCACCCTGACTCCCACGTCCATTCTCCCAGGCCTGGGTGGGCTGTCCCAGTCTGGGGTGGAGGCCCACCGTTTGTTCTAGGCAGCTGCCTGGCAGCCAGGGTCCCCACCTTGCCGAACTTGACGTGCTGCTGGTAGAGGATGCCGTCCTTGATAGGGGTCTCCAGAGGCTCCATGGCCGGGGCAAGGCTGCGGGTCCACCACTCCGAGGGCCTGAGGAGACTGGTTACAGGCTGAGGGGAACTCCTCACACTTCCCCTTCTGGCCACTTCCCCTCCCTCTGTCCAGAGAGGCAGCTGCATGACTGGGGGAGGGGAACCCCATCTCCAGTAAAAGAGCTAGGATAGCAGTTGGGGGCATATTTCTTCCTTGGGGTTCCGACTGGACTGGTCAACGTGCCGTGTGCCTGGCAGGGGCCTTGGAGCACCTGAGGGCAAATGACCCATGCCTGCACCTGGGTCAGCTGGGTGTGAGCATCTGACCTGCAGGCTGGCTCCCTAGTCATGGGCTCAGACCCCTCCCCTGTCCACCCTGGGGACATTTGTGCACCCTGGGGCCTGGTATTCCCACAGCCCCAGCACCCTTCTCCAGCCAGACTGGCAAACTCCTTGCTTTCCCACTTGGAGCCCTGGTTGGTTGGCTGGTCCTTATCTTGGAATATTTCTAATATTCACTCCCTCCCTCCACCTTCGCTGCCCTCATCCACTGCCAGCCTGTGCATCTCCTTTTTTTTTTATTTTTAAGGAAAGGCAAGAAGCAGGCTACTTCATAGACAGAGCAGCCGTGGTCCTGCCAGGGAAATGAAAGTAAAGCAGGAATAAATTCATTCAGAGGAAAAGGAAGAAACAGGCTACTCCACAGACCTGCGTCTCCCTTTGAACCACTGGCTCACCTGGGCCCACCCCTCTCCCCTTCCTAAATGCTTCCTGGTTCTCCACTGCCCTCAGGTCTAGCCTGGGCTCCTCAGCCCAGCACTCAAGGTGCTGCGTCCTAGCCTCACCTCTCCCCCGTCCAAAGAGGCCCCCTCATCACAGTGCTCTCTGGGCGCTGGCTGCCTCTTCCTCTGGGAGGCCTCCTCTGACCACCCCATGCTGAGAGCATAAAGGCCCCAGCAGCGCGCCCCAGTCCTCATGGCATGGTCCTGCCCATCTGAGTGCAGATGGCATGCCCCAGTGGGCCCCTGGAGAGCTCACATGCTTTTTAAGCTTTGCTTCTTCCTGGTGGCCTATTTTTGTGCCTTACCGGAGGCCAGTATCAGGGCTGTGTGTGAATCTGATTCTGGGGACAGCCTCATGTCACTCATTCAATGCCACCTATGGGAAGGAATGTGTAAACAGGCTGAGAAATATAGTTTGGGGGTCACATACATATAGGGTGTGTATCTTCTTGGGCAGGAAATCTTTTCCAAAGGTCTCCCACACCTGGCTTTGTGCCCATTGTGGCCCAAGAAGCCCCAAGCTTCAGCCCCACACACCAGGCCCTTTGCATTCTCACTGACATTTCAATGATGAGGAAATCAAGGCTCAGAAACATTAAGTAACTTGCCCAAGGCCACACACCAAGTGACAAACATGGCTTGGGCAACGGCTGTCCTGCTGGGATAAGCATGTGGCCTGCACATGAAGTGCCCGGCACAGAGGAGCTGCCACCAGTGCTAGTCCTCTGCCTACTCCTCGCCAGATGTTGAAATCCCATGCATTTGCCAACATTCTTGTGACTGCCGCCCATGACCAAGTCTGATCTCTCTGCCACTCACCTGTGAGCTGCCCAGCAAAGCTGAGCAGTGTGCCAGAAAGTGCCTGTAGCAGTCTCCTGTGGCATCTGCTGCCCCTCAGCAAACAGGGCGGAGGGTTCCCTCCTGGGAGCCTGCACAGGTGGGCAAGCGGGCAGGGAGCCTGAGGCTGGGTCGCCTCCCAAGGGGCTCCAGAAGCCCTAGGAGCTTCACACAACTGACAGGAAGAGGGAGGCTGCGGCAGGGCTGGAGGTTACGATAGTCAACCAGAGACCTGAAAACCCGACCACCGATTTCCCCTTGTCCACCGATGTGGTCCCTCTGAGTCACAAATCCAGCTGGCACTGGGGGTGGGGTGGGGTAGGGGGGGCAGCTAGGCGGCTCCTTCCACAACCGAGCTGGCTGGGTGTTGGCTGAGGTGAGTGAGACGCCCAGGCTCTCGAGGTCAGAGGGTGAGGCTACTAGGAAGCAGGGGGCGGACGAGGTGAAACACAGAGGCAGGGCTGGGGCTCAGACCACAGAGGCTTGTGCTTTAATGGCAGCTGGGGTAAAGAGAAGCAAAAATAGTAATTCTGGGGCCACAGGGCGCAGGCAGCCAGGCGTGGCCTGGCCCAGCCCAGGCCAACTGGGCTGAGGATGCTGGCTTCTTGTCCAGGGGGCTGGTGTGTGGGAGGTGGCTGGAAGCCCGGGACTGAGGCCTCTGGAGAGAGGAGAGGCGGCAGGCAGCTAGAAGTCCATGGAGCTGTGGGCCAGGTAGTCCTTGCGGCCAATGTTGCTGACCTGCTTGGTCTGCATGGCTTCAAGTTTGGGGCAGTCGGTGATCCGATGGCCCAGGCCCCCGCAGAATGCACAGCCACGCTCTCCTGGGAGTATGGGGTATAGGGGGAGGGGGTCAGCATGGTGACAGGGCCAAGTTCCACTCCCCAGACCTTGGTCCTCCTTCAGTCTCCCTAGTCCACTGATGTGCAGGGTGGACCTGGTGTTCCCGTCATGCCCCCCCTCTGGACTAGTGTCTCCCGCTCCGCAGTTACCTCCAATGTCCAGCATGGACTCGTCACCGCAGTGCAGCACTTGTAGCACAGGTGGCACCTTCTGCTTGGCCTCCAGCAGCAGGGCTTTGAGGTCCATGAGCACTGACTCGTCTGTGGGGCAGTGGGGTGCCATTAGGTCCAACCCTGTAACCAGGAGCTGGAAGACCCAGGGGACAGCTGTGGTGGCTCTGGGATACTCACCGCAGGCCTTGTTAATGAAGGTGGTGGCGATGCCTGTGTTTCCTGAGCGCCCGGTACGGCCAATTCTATGCACTGCAGAGAGAGGAGACAGCTTCTGGCCCACTGCCCAGGGCTGGAGCCGAGCCTGCAGCCCAACCCCCCACGTTCCCCCCAAGCTCCCACCGTAGTTCTCGATTTCCTCAGGCATGTCATAATTGATGACATGCTGGATGGCAGGGAAGTCCAAACCCTTGGAGGCTACATCTGTGGCCACTAGGACATCCTTCTTGCCCTCCCGGAAAGCTTCGATGGCCTTGGTCCGTTCCTCCTGGTCTGGAGAGGGTGAGGCGGGAGCAGTTAGAACAATAGCAAGAGTCTGGGGAGTAGCGGCAAGCCGGCCAGGCAGGGGAAGGTTAGGTGAGGGGCAGCAATGGCAGCACCATCCATGCCTATGCAGATGCCACCCTGACCTTTGCCCCCATGGATGGCCACGGCCTCGACCCCCTTGAGCAGCAGGTACTCATGGATGGCGTCCACATCTGCCTTCTTCTCTGCAAAGATGAGCACCTGTCCAGGAAGGCCAATGCGTCACGGCGACTGCCTCTGCCCAGGTGTCCCCGACCCTCTCCCATGTGCTGTCCCTACTGCCCTCTTCCCTCATCTGGGGTGTCCTGGGCCAGCCTGGCTATACTCACAGGCGGGGGTGTCTTCTGCAGGCACTCGAGCAGGTATACCATCTTGGCCTCTTCCTTCACATATTCCACCTCCTGCCACCAGAGGGGCCAGGTCAGGTGGTCCTGAGAACAAGCTCACCAGCATGGCCCACCAGAGAGGCTGGGCCCCAGTCCCAGCTGGGAGGTGACCAGCAGCCTCTTGCCGCCAAGGGCCAGGGACCCTAAGAATGTTTCCTGCTAAGGGCTGGGACTTCAAATAATGAAACCTCCAGCGCCCACAAGGTGGACCGCCCACCTTGCTCCAATCAGCTTCAAAGGGAGCCTTGCCAGACCCTGCCCTCAGAGGTGAGACTGCCCTCCAGGACTTGCCCACCTGGATGACATCTAGGCTGGCGGCCCCGGCGCGCCCCACATTGATGGTGACAGGCTTTACCAGGGCACTCTTGGCAAAGTTCTGTATCTTCTTAGGCATGGTGGCACTGAAGAGTAGGGTCTGCCGCTGGCCCTGAGAAAAAGGAGGGCTGGGGCTGAGGGCATGGGGGACAGTGGGTAGGCAGCGCAGGGCCTCAGGGCCCTCCACAGTTGACAGAGGCGCACAGGGGGAAGGTGGCAGGAGTGCCCTGGCCAGGCAGGGAAGGGCACCTTGAAGTAAGAGAAGATGGTGCGGATGTCGCCCTCGAAGCCCATGTCGATCATGCGGTCAGCCTCGTCCAGAGCCAGGTAGCGACAGATGTCCAGGCTGACCATCTTCTTTTGCAGCAAATCCATGAGGCGCCCAGGGGTGGCTACCATCATATGCACACCGCTGGGGAACCAGGAGAGACCCTGAGATCGGGGCCACCTGCTCAGCCCTACCTAGAGGCTGGCCTTTCACCTCCTTCTGCCCTCTGGTCTTCCTGTCACTCCCACCACCTTGCCCTACATACAGCACACATCTCTCTTGGAGGGGGCTGCAGCCTTCCTGAAGTGCTCCAGGCTCTCCCTAGCCACATGGTCACCTCTGCCTGGCAAACCCTTCTCCCGGGTCCTCCTCTCACCCCCAGGAGTGTGCTGCCCTGAGTCTCCAGGCAGGTCTCAGCCTGCACTTCCCCAGCTCCCTGCCTCTGCAGGCCTTGAAAGGCTCACTTTCCCAGCTCGCTGAATTCAACTGTTCTGTGTCTGCATCATCCCTGAGACTGGCGCTGGGGCTGGCCTGTCTGTGACCCCAGACAGCTGGTGATGTCTGCTGGGAACTGCACTGTGTGGCAAGGGCACAGGCCCAACCCTGCCCCAGTGCCTCAACCTCCTTGCTGAGCTACACACTGAACTACCTGACCTTCCTGAACACCCTGGGCTCCCCACCTCTGTGCCTTCTGCCTGTAATAACCCCACTCCATCTGCTGTGCCCCCACAGTCCCTCACTACACCCCTCTGTCCCACCCCAAGTGACCTCCCCATTAGACTGGGGGCTCTCTGAGAACTAGACCCACAAAAGGCCTCGGCAAGGCTCTATGGAGTAGCTAAAACAAAAGGTCCTCTGATTTATCTAGGGGCTTTGGGGTGGCCCTGGGGTAAAGGTGCCTGTGCTCACTGTCGGATGGTCTCCATCTGCTCTTTGACAGACATGCCCCCGATGCACAAAGCGCAGCGCAGGAGTGGGGAGCTGTCCTCCTGCAGCAGGCGGCAGTAATACTCCAGGATGCCGTGGGTCTGCCGGGCCAGCTCTCGCTGCAGGTATGAGAGGTAGGGGGGTGGGGGGGCAGGGGCTGGTACCAGAAGGCAGTCTTGTTGGTGCCCTGCCCTCCAGGCCAGGCTATCTTACCGAGGGGCAGATAATGAGTCCATAGGGCCCTTCGTGCTTGGAGAAAGGTAATCTCTTCTCTTGTTCCAGGCAAAACATGATGACGGGCAAAGTGAACACCAGGGTCTTGCCTGAACCCGTGAAGGCAATGCCTATCATGTCACGGCCGGACAGGCTGTGGGGAGAGAAGGGGCTTGAGGGTCAGGTTCGGTAGAATACAGGGACTGTTTCTCTACGTGGATATGTAGTGACTGCTCCTGCTTGTCACCACCATCCTCAGAGCCCCCACGTCCACACTTACATGGTGGGGATACCCTGGATCTGAATCGGCGTTGGGTGGTGGATGCCCTTCTTCTTTAGGCCTCTCAGTATGGCTGTGGGAAATAACACTGCATCATCCTGTGTCCACAGGTACTTGATCAGGCCCCAAAGCCTATAAAATGGGCTCTGTCCCCCTCAAGTTACAAATGATGAAACTGAGACCCAGAGAAAGAGCAAGGGAAAGACAGACAGACAGACTTGTGCAAAGGCCCTAGGCTAAGTGGAAGCAGGATTCACACCCAGGTCTGTCTAAGGCTAACACCACGTATCCACTGAAGGTCCCTAATGGCAGAAAACAGTGACTATGTACAGCTGGGACAACTGAAAAAGGAGCCTAAAGGAACCGCTCCTCAAACCCCTCCATCCCCACTGGCTATGCTGCAGTTGCGGAGCTTAGTGGGAGCTGGGACACAACCTCACATATCTTTGACTATCAAAGTGTGGTGCCTCTCCCAGTCCCCAGGCACCTGCAGGAAATTTCATTTCCTTGAAGCTCTTGATGGGTGGTGGGATACCATCTCCCTCCACCAGGATGTGGTATTTCCTCCGTACACGCTCATGCCGCTCTTCAGACATGCTCAGGACGTAACGGGGGGGTGTCCAACTGTGGGTGGGTGGTAGGGGTCAAGAGAGGCCCTTGGGCACAGCTGGCTTTGGGGTGTCCCTGCCAGTCTCAGCCATATCCCATCCAAAGTAAGGGTGACTAGCTTTCCACATACCTGGTTTTGATCGGATCATCGTATGTGATTCCCTTAGCCATCTCCTTCACTGACATCAAAGCTGAAGAGACAGATGTGGCTCAGGGCTGGCACCTGCTTCCCAGAGGCCAGGCCCCTTGAGATATAACATGCCTGGGGTTGGGGGAGGACGCTCAGTCCACTTCCTCCCTGCCCCAGCTACAACCCTACCTCTGCCCTCAGCCACACTCTCCAGGATCTTCTCCTCTTCCTTCAGCTGCTTCTCCTTGGCAGATTCCTTGCGGGCTGAGAAAAAAAAAAGCAGATGGTGTCAGAGAGACACCAAAGCTGTACACCAAGCCGAGCCTCCCGCAGGTGCTGAACCCACCTTCAGCCTTCTCTTTGAGGTGCTGGTGCTGATCCAGGAGGCTGACGTTGGACTGAGGGCCCAGCGGGATGTCGTCCTCATCTCCCCGGGGCTCACTGCCACTGTCCTGCTGTTCCTCCTCCGCAGCTCCCTTGCGCCTTCGCTGCAGCAGCTTCTGGAGCTGAGGTTCCACCAGAGCCCCTCAGAGCCAAGCCCAACACAGAGTGGGACATCGGGCCCACGAGCTGCGTCAGGATACTGGCTTTTGGGAGAGGGTTCTGTGCCCCGAGGCGCACAGCTCCCTTGCCTCTCAGATCATGTCGTCAGTCCCTCATGTGCCTGGGGGCCACGCTCCCGTGTAGATACCTCACCCCGCAGACCAGGGGTCACCATCCCACCGCGAAACCCCCACCCCCCGCCCTCATTCGTCCTTCGACCCCGGGCCCTCACCAGCAGTTGCCGGCGCTGTCGCAACGGCACGTAGGGCACGTAGTCCTCCTCGTCCTCATCCTCTGCCTCGGAGCGGCTTCCTGCGGCAGTCGCCTCGTCGGTGCGAGCCCGCTGCAGAAACACACAAGTCAAGCCCGGAACCCTCCGCCTTCATTGAGGCTCGCCACCCGAGCGGCTCACAGCCTCGTACCCACCTTCCGCTCGGGTTCCGAGTCCTCCATCCTTTGCTGCACGCATGCGCACCACGGCAAAAACCCCACCCTATCTCCGAGATCCAATCAGATGTGAAGAAGCGGACGTCGGCGCATAGCAACGACATCTGAGTGCCGGATCGCACCGAGGGACAAACTTTCTTCTGAGCCGCTGTCCTGCGGCGCAGTGTCAATGTTCCTTGAGCGGCTACGCAGCTGTTGCCGGGTTGAGGGCGAAAGCATACGGCAAAGCACTGTGGGATGCTGGAGGATTTGGAGCATGCGCTAAAGGCTCGAATCAAGCTTGGTAGCGGGGGAGGCGCCCCAAGGGAAGACAGCGGATCCAGCCAGGTTCCCAGCCTCGCCCAGACCATGACGTCACCCAGCGCGCCCTGGTCGGTGGACACTGCGCCCTCCAGTGGCCAGGGAGCTCCGGGACCTGGCCGGCTGGGATCCCGATGCCCGGGGCACGGGTACTGCTAGTGGACAGTTGAGTCAAGCACTACGGCTGACTGGTAGTCTCATCTATGTGAGACAACACCTACGTTCAGAGTGGCGAGGGATAAATAGTATTATAAAATACTGATGATGGTGAGGGTCTGTACGTGTGTAAACGCTTATCGTAAATGCCGTACTAGAGCTCAGAGTGTCTCGCTGCCTGGAGAACCAGAGGCTTCCAGGAGACTGGATCTGAGCTTCCAGAGAAGTGTGGAATCTCAGAGCAGAAAGTGGAGGGGAGTAAGAAAGAGGCTTTCTGAAAGAGGGTGCAGCAGGAGTGATCTAGCCATGTACAAGTGCACAGATTCCTAGGGAATAAAGAGATCACTTGGCCTACATGAGGTGGGGGTAGCCAGAGCAAGCGCTGGCGAGGCTAGAGCATGCAGGACCTTGTCAGGATAATTTTGTCACTGGGGACTTCAAGAGAGTGGTCAGTGTTCTTTCCTTCTTCGTGTATTTAATATGAGCCTGTGCTGGGCATTGTGTATTGAGTGCTGAAGCACATAAAGATGAGCAAGACACAAACCTGGCTTGTGGGATTACAGATTTGTTGAGACAGAAATATAGCTAACCAGTCTTGAGGTTAAGAAGTATCAAAAGACAGGCAGGTACCGCTTTTGGAATTATCACAAAGGCAGGGCAAACTGATTCTCATGGTAAAAGTGGCCTCTAAGGGTGCCAGGCCTAGCTGGAGACCGAGGTTGTAGGTGTGGCTGGAGTGAGTGCTGGAGGCAGGGACTAGGCATGGAGGGTCCCAAATGCCACTCACAGGAGTCCTCTGTAGGAAAAGCGACTGCTTTAATCAGGCCTTCAATTTTCAAACGATGCAGAATTTTAGATAGCTGTGCTAATTCAACTGCATGGCAGGAGCCTGGTGCAAGAATTGGAGTATGAGAGGAACACAGGTAATAAATATACAGAGAAAGGTTTCACAGGGGTGTCCACACTTCCTTGGGGATTGGGAAAGGCCAGGGACCAGGAATTGTGAACCTGTGGGCAATGCTGTTTCACTTCTTTAGAAGAGGAAGCTGGCACTGACTGCCAGCCTATGGTGGGGCTCAACCAGGTGGGGGTGGGGGAGGGAGTAGCGAGTGGTTTCTGATCTGGCTCCCTGCACTCCATAGAGGGCTCTTAGTGACTGTGTGGCCACTGCCTCCATCGCTTGCTTCCCACATTAACTCAAGTTGAGTTGGTTTTAGTGGAGAAAATGACATTGGAGGCAAGGAGTTGGGACACACGTGTGTGAGGCATTTTTAGCAAACCTGTTATATTAAAATCTGAATTTATAAACCAGATCCATGGGAATGGGGAGAGGTAGTTTGCTTTACTTTACAGAAGGGTTCATTATACACTTAACTCTCAAGCACTTAAGCTACGTCTCATTCCCATTGGAAAGTCAGACTCAATTTATAAAAACTCCATCTACCGCCCACTTCCCATGACAACCCTAAACACCTTGGCTAAAGGTGCACAGTCCATAAAGGCCTCAAGCCTTCCCCAGGTCTCTTCTTACATCAGTTGCCCAGAGACCGAGTCCCATCCCTGCAACTCACCCATCTTGCAGAGGGGAAAACAGACACAGTGTGGGGAAGGGGCTGCTCCCATACGAGTCCTCCCAACCAGGAGGAAAAGGCAGAGGCCGCAGTCATACAGACCTGTGCTCTAACCCTAGTGAGCTAGACTGAGCTCAATGAAGTCATTTTCCTGTCTTAGCTTTAGTTTCCTTATTTGTAAAATGGGATAATAGTCCTACTTAAAACTGCTGCAAGAATTAAGTAGAAACAATGCCAAACCACTGACACACAGTATATGCTTAACAAGGTTGGTGACTAAGACAGACCCCATGATTCTAATTACATCCCTTAGTTCACCCCCAACTCTACCCAACAAATGAAACACACAACTCTTTGTCCAAATGTTGCTTTATCTTTCGCAGGAAAGATCTTCACAGTATCAAAAGTAAAGAATTAAAAAATAAAACAAACAAAAAACCAAACATACGGAGAGCAGTGTTGGGCCAGCAGCCCCCGGCCCACAGGCCAGCCCAGCCCCCGGGCTCTGAGTGTGGAGGCTGCGTAGCACCTGGAGGCGGCTCTGTGGAGGTCCTGAAGGGTCCCAGCCCGGCTCAGCATCCATTCAGCTTTTGGTTGGTCCGGGATGGCGGGGAACAGGGAGGGTCTTGGGCAGGTGGGTGGGGCTGTGGAGGAGGAAGAAACTGTAGACCTTCAGCTGGCAGTCGGGGGTCTCAGGAGACCGTGAAGAAGCTGGACCCGGCAAAGGCTGCGAATACAGAAGAGCACGGACACATGGTGAGCAATGGCCTCCCAATGCTGGCTCTGGGTCTCCTCCATAGGTCCCCGTGGAGGTAGGAACAGCATCAAGGGTGGGGGATCCTGACCCAAAGAGGGGCAAGAAGACTTGCCCAAGAATCAAGGAAGTCTGCTGCCCTGGTCCAGAGAGGACAGGTGAGGACATCAGCCCCAGTTTCTTGTTGCCTTAAGGGCAGCTGTGTGGGTGTCAGTCAGAAAAGGCCTGAGCACAAGATACAGCTCAGGGTTCAGGCATGGCACTGCGCAGCCATTAGGCCCCAACCCCAGCACCGAAGCCTGACTGCCAGCTACCCTTCTCTCCTGTACTACGGTTCTCAGCTCAGTGCCTTCTCCTGTATTCTCAGTCCAGAGCATCATCTGACAGGTCAACAATTTAGACAAAAGGGCCTGTGCAGGTGGCTGGGAGGGGAGGCCAGGCCTCTTCTTCCAGGAGGCAGCTTCGCTATTAATTTCTTTGTGAAACCTGCCCTGTTTGCGTCTAAATGACCTCCAAGACCTCAGTCTAGCTCAGCCCCCACGCTGCTCCCTTGCAGGTCACGCTGCAGGTCCTGGCAACCTGCAGGAGTAGCTGGGCCCACCGAGTGAGATTCAACCCCGAGGCTAATGTCAGAAATAGGGGCAGCCCTCTGGGGCCCATGGCTGTCTGGGCCCAGTGGGAGGAAGGTGGCAGGGGAAGTGGAGGCCTGGTGGATACCCCAGGGGATGACGGTGCAGGAAGGGGACCTTCAGGAGCAAGGGCAGGAGGGCCTGACCCAGGGAGGAGTGATGGAAGGACAGGGCTAGGGAGAAATGGCTGCAGGAAAAGAGATGGTGCCTGTGCCTGCAGAGAGCAGAGCCCGCTGGGCTGTCACTGTGGAGATGTAGGGGTCCGGGCTGCAGGCCTCAGTCCAGCTCCCTATGCCTCAGAGCACAGAAGCTGGCAGAGCACTAGGAGGGGGTGCACGCAACACTTGGGGTCTCCATACCTCACTGAGCTGTGCTGGGAGTGGTTTTCTTGAGGCTGAAGTTGGTCCAGTTCACAGCAACTTTCTGGCGTGTTTGCTTTGCAGAATCCAAACAGAACCTATCAGGTTTGGGGGAACAGAGAAGTACAATCAGAGATCCCCCCACCCACTGGACCCCTCTCCTAGAGCCATGTGTCCTGGTCACTAAAGGAGCACAACCCCTCCAGCTCCTGGGTGTTGTGGTCTAGCAGGTAAGGCAACTGTGCTGGCTGGGGGAGCTTCCTGGCTAGGGTGCCCACAAGCCCAGGGGACAATGTATGAAGAGAGTGACACTGCATTGGCATTTGTCCCCCCTCCCCCTTCCATGTTTTACACTAGCTATGCTGGGCTGTCTTCCTTTCTCCTAAGGACAGGTTTTTTTCACCCTCAAACCTTTATATGTGCTGACCCACTGTCACACATACCCTTTTCGTTTTTCCTGGCCCACTCATTCTTACTCCTCAGGTTTCAGCCCAGCCACCACCTCTTCTCGGAGTGCTGCCCTGGCTGCCCCTAGGCCTCAGCGCGGCCTGTGGTCCCCCTTCTAGTCACTCCCCAAACCCACATCCTTACTCCTCTAACAGCACTTGTTGCTGGACTATATAGATTTATGCTCTTTCCCCACCTAGACTGTTTGATTCGCCTCTGCCCCAGAGCTCAGCCCAGGCAGAGCAGAGAAGTGCAAGTGAATAAACAAAGTGAATGAAACCGGAAAAGCCCTGGTTTTTGGGACTTGATACGCCTCCTTTGCCTGGTCCCTTGCACCCTTCCAGATGCCCTGTCCTGCCAAGTGGCTACCTGGGTTCCAGCAGACAGGTTGGTGGGAGAGGTCCGGGAGAGAGTAGGGCAGCAGGTGGCCACACCTACCTCTTGAAGTACTCCACCTCCCGGTCAGTCTCATCCATCTCCACACCATCCATGTCCTTGGGCAGGAACACATCGTCTAGGAAGACACAGCCAGGAGGGCTCAGTGCCCACACACGAGGATTGCCCTCCACCCGTGGCCTGGCAGGGGGCTCAGCCCCTGCTCCTGGTGCACTCACCCAAGGAGGCGGCCGACTTCTCCTGCTTGGTGCGGCTGCGACGGCTGCGGCCCTTGCCCTGCGGCAAGTTCTGGGGCCTTGCTGGGCCTTGGGGCTGCACAGACTCCTGCTCCTGAGGCCGTGCCTTGGCCTCACCTGGCCAGTTTCGCCAGGAGCTGCCCTTCTCCTTGTCAGCTTTGGGGCTGTCAGCCCAACCTGGTCCTGGCTGGCTCCCCCGGCTCCCGTCTCCGGCCTCGGCACAGCTGCCCACTTTGGGAGGCTCTGGGGCCTTGCCTGGCTGCTTGGGGCTGGGGGGCTGGCCCTTGGCACTGGGAGCCTCCAAGCTGGCCGAGGACCGGGGGGCTGGGCTCACCTCACTCTTCTTGGCCTGACTGCCTTGTCTCTTGCCTTTCCGTGGCTTCCCACCTGAGGCCACGGGCTCAGGCAGCTCCTGCTTGCAACTGGGGACTTCCTTTGGGCTTGGCTCCTCAGAGCTGGTGTTGCCTGGTTTGGGTGTCTTGACCCAGATCACCCGGGACAAGTTGGGCACAGTGCTGAGTCTCCTCACTAGCCCATTCTCGGGGATGATACCGGGAGGGGGGCCCCTCACCTCTGTCCATGGTGGATGGGGACCTCTCATTTCTGCCCATGGTGGGGCTGGTTTGCCTGGAGCTGGTAACATGTGGTTCTGAGGGGAGCCCAAAGTCAAAGGGGACAGGTCAAGGTTGATGTCAGGCCGGTACTCTGAGGAGCCATTGAGGTTCGAGGGGGGTAGACTCTGGGGCTCTGTCTCAGCAGCTTCCTCCTTAGAGAAGCCATTGCTGTCCATGCTGAGCTCACACACACTGAAGCTGGCGCGGATGGAGTCCTTGACAGTGTTCTTGATCTCCTGCAGACGGCTGCTCAGGAAGCTGTTGACCCGATCCAGCTCCCGGTCAGGCCACTCCAAGAGCCTCTCCCTGGCAGGCCTCAGCTCCTGGCTTCCAGAAATACCACGATTCACCTGCTTCAGAGCTTCTGCTGCCAACTGGGCCTTCTCTTTTTCCTGCCAATACAAGGACAGTTTCAGCAGGGGCCTGGCAGCTGCCAGGCACAACGTGACACCTGACATACCAGCCTGGGGCCCAGCTTTGCCACTAACTGGCTAAAGGCAGTGCTTCATGATCCTGGCCTGCTTGCCCACCCTGCAGGAGTGAAGATGGAGTGCAATCAGACAGGTACGCGTCTTGGGCACAGAGGCTGTTACACCCACCGAGGGCAGGGTTTTCATAGCTTGTTCATCCAGAGCCCCAGTGATGTCCTAGGGCCTAAGAAGGCTAGACTCAAAAGGGTGCGGATGTAGCTAACTGCACAATGCCACCCATTTGCTGAGTCTCAGTGAACTCATCTGCAAAATGGGACAATAGTTCTGAAGAGAAGACCAAAGTGGGGATGCATGTGAGGAAGATGGCTACTACAGACATGCTCTCCAATTCTGCAGGCAGGAGAGGGAAAAACCATGATGTCATGAGTGTCTTTCAGGAAGGAAGTTGTGGGGCTGACTGCTCTGGGGGGTTGGGAATGTGTGTATCCTCCTAATGCTGTGTATGGATGCCACTGAAGAGGGTGAAGTTCCCATAGGAAGGCCACTCACTGCTCAGTTGTCCTCAAGTAATCAAGGCCACGCCTAAAGTGTGCCCCATGACATACTATGGACAGCCACATGTAAAAGCAGCCTCTTTGGCTGGGTGAGGCCCGGGAGGCTCAGGAGGCTGGGCCCTGCCAATCAGTGTTGACAGAGCCAGATCTGGAGAGTGAAAAAGTTAGTCTGTGGGCTGAGTCACCCCACCCCTCTGCCCAACCTCAAGGCACCAGCAGGCCAAGAAGGCCTTGAAAAGGAGACAGGAGACAGACGTCAAAGGCCTACAGGAAGGAGGTGGTGGTGCCGTGCCAGGGGCTGGATGACTTCTACCATTTCACGTATTTCTAGCGATCTGGGAATAAAGGAGGAAAACAGGAAGAGGAAAGTGGGGAGAGAAAAGAGGGCTTGCTGTCTGTCACCTCAAAGTTAACTTAAGGAGGGTGACCCTGTGGCCCAGTGGGCATGCATTTATTTGTCCTCTTGTCTTTTTTGAACACTGGCTCCACAACTGACTAGGACCACAGCTGTGGGACCTTGGACAAATCACTTCTTCTCTGAGCCTTACTAATGTCATTTGAAAACTTAGGAGAAAAATGACCTACCTATACCTCACAGGGTCAATATGGGGACACCTAAGAGGGTGTGTCCTATTCCCTGTGTGCAAGTAAGGCTGTGCCCTGGTACTGTGCTCAGGTGAGGGAGCCGCTCAGCCTGCAGCAGCGTTTCCAGCTGTGCGACCTGGAGTTTAAGGCCATAAGGCCAGCTCTAAGGCTATGGGTACGCACACAGGACTGGAAGGGCCTCTCTTTACTCCTCCCCTGCAACAAGAACAGCTCTGCTTTGTTAGAAACTGAGTTCCTTGGAAGACTTCGGATGCAGAAGAGTGTTCTGCAGCTAGGCAAGGGTGTCTGAAAATGGCTGGTGTAGAGGGAGTGATGTGGAACCACATGCAATTTGGTAGCAAGGAGGGGAGAGCACAGAAACACACATTTTCTGCTGGGTACCATGAGCTTGGTAGTTCCCACATGCCGTCTCATTTAATGCTCACAACTGTCCTTGTTGCATCATTATCCTCAATTTACAGATGAGGACACTCGACTTGGGAAAGAATAAGGAACTGGCCCAAGGTTGCATGGCTAGTGAGTGGCAGAGTTGGGACAGCACCCAAGCTGTGATCTGCAGAAGATCCTGTGTTTTTCAGTCCTGTCTGACAATCATTTCTTGACCATTGACTCTGAGGTACTGGGCTGGGTTCTGAGAATTCAACTATGCGGGAGACACAGTCTCTGCTCGCTGACCTGAGTCTGCTGGGGGAGACAGACACGCAACAGGCTGTTTAATTCTGAGTAACAGTAACAAAAGCTACAGAGAAGAAAGCACAGGGTGCTCTGGGAACCCAGACCAGGCCCATCAGGGAGTACTTCCCAGAGGCGGTATCGCCCTGAGCATGAAGGGTGAGTGAGGGGGATTATCCTGGAGAGAGAGAGACAAGCACTTTCCAGAAGGAAGAGCAAGTGGAAAGGCTGGGAAATGGAAAAGCACTAAATCTTTAGGGGATCCCAATCACTCAGAGGTACAGCTGGAGCCCAGATTTCTTCTGGGTGTAGGGTGGGCAGAATGCCAGAAGGGCAGACTGAGACGAAGCTGGCAAGCTAAGCAGGGGCTGGCTCCTGAAGAGCCCTGCAGGCCATGCTCAAGTATGGGTTCAATCCTGAGGGCACGTTCAGCCACTGAAGGCTTTTTAAGGAGTGGCCATGGGGTGGAGTGAAGTGGATGGTTTGAGTGATTTAGGAGGTAGTGTGGCCAGGACACTCGGTGGTGTGTGGGGAGAACGAAATGTGTCATGAGAACAACCCCAACCCCCGCTACGCTGCTCCGGCAGCCACACGGACCAAGCGCTCACTCTGCCAAACCTTTGCGTGCATCACTCCATTTCATTCTCGCAACAATCTGACTTAGGTTCTACTGTTATTCTCATTTCCTGGATAAAGAAACTGAGGCTTGGAGGTTAAGTGATTTGCCCAAGGTCATACAGCAAGTGTGGCAGAGCCAGGTTTCAAACTGAGGTCCAAGTCCAAGGCCCACTGCTCCTGATCACCGTGATGCATTCCTCCCAGGGTGGCACCCAGCGTTCTGTTTCAGGCAACTGGGTGGACGGTGGTGCATCCAGCTAGACAGACAATGGAGAATGAGGGACAGGCCTCTTTGGAGAAAGACAACAAGTTCAGTTTTGGATGCTCTGAGTTTGAGTACCTGTGGGATGCCATAAGAAGGTGCCCAGTAGCAACAGCAGACATCACTGTGACGTGCAAGGAGGGAACAAGGGGCCATACCGAGCTGGAAGGCACCACTAACTAGATGGCTTCTCTCTCCCAGGGAGATGTCCTCTATCGGGGGGGGGGGGGGGGGGGGGCAGGTAGAGGAAGAGGAGCACACAAAGGAGACAGAAAAGAGGGTGGAGAGGAAGGTGAGAAATGTGGAGAGCTAGGCGTTCCCACTGTCCTTTCCTTGTCCCCCAACTGAGGGTGGAGTAGCCAAAGAAAACAGTGTTTGAAAAGAAGAAACACAAAATGGGAAATGTTGCCTAGCAGACAAAGAAGATGGAACAGGAGAAAGCATGGTTTGGCTTTCTGGGGGGTGGAAAACAGTTTGCAGTGAGCTGACGGAAGTAAAGACTGAATGCAGAGAAATTTTCAAGAATCTGGCTGTGATGAGAGGAGAGAGACAGGGGTGGGGGTGGGGGGGGTGAAACGGAAGTTGTATACTCAAGGAACAGTTTGCTTTTAAAAAAAGACAGCATACTGGGCACAGTGGATGCTGATGGGAAACAGCCCAGAGAGGCTGCAGCCACAGGACAGGAAGTCAATGTTAGCCTGAGAGGCAGGAAAGGACTGCAAGGGCCTTAGGTAGGAAAAGGGTAACTGGTCCTTTATGACAAGAAAGTTTGCAGGTGCTAAGACGCTGAGAGAGTGCCTTCCACTGGCCTAACTGGAACAGGAAGTGAGGGTATTAGCCAAAAAATAAGGTGGGAGTGGGGAAAACCTGGAAGTTAGAGAAGACTTGCAGTCCTTCAAAAGGATTGTGACGAATGAAGTGATGAGGAGGAAGACGACTAGGGAGCTACAGAGGCCTGTGAGGCAATGTGGGGGCTCAAGCAAGTGGGAGGCCATGTGGCCACGTGCCACAGATAGATTTGGTGCTTTCCTTGAGGTGCAGAGGGGGAGAGGCACATTGGGGGTGACCCAGGGCTGCGGTTTTCCTGAGTGTGTGTCAATTGAAGGGCAGTGGGGCAAGGAATTGAGAGTACTGGTAAGGAGTGAGTCAACGATGGTCAAGGCGTCTCGCCTGGTCTGGGGAGAGGAGAAAAGGGGCAGGTGACAGTCCTCAATGGATAAAGAGGAATGGCTGGGAGGTTGTAGAGGACAGAGCCGGGGTCAGTTCCAAAAGAGCAAGGGTTACAGAGTCACGGTCTGGAAATGGTATAAGGGAGCAGAAAGACACCCAGCTTTGTTCGTCTCCTGAGGTGGGAGAGAGTATGCAGGCTTATTCTCTGGATGACTTGTAGGGGAAGCTGTGTTTTCGGTGGACAGCAGTTGTAAGTCCAGGAGGTAGATGGAGGGACATGGGGAGGAGGCTGATATATAAACAGATAATGGCCATGATCGCCTATCACATGACATTGCAACTGCCTGCTTCTGCTGTAACCTGGCCTCTCGACTGGGCTGGACAGATAGTAGCTATGCAGTAAGTTTCTGAACAAGTAAGTAGTGTGTGATAAATGACAGACTAGAGAGATGTGCAAGGTGTGGCAGGAGTACAGAGGGAAAAGTTATCTGAGCAAGCCTGCAAAAGAGGAAACAAGTGAACTGAGCTTGGAAGGAAGTTGTCAGGAGGAAAAGGAGAGAGAAGAGAGCCTTACTGGTGAAGGAGAAAATGTGCAGCACACAGATTTAGGAAAAGCACACCATCCTGGGAACTGTGAAGTGTGCTCGCTAGGACCTAACTGCCTTAAGAGGCCAGGAAAGGCCAAAGAGACTGCTGCTGCCCACCGGACACTTCTGGCCAGGCAATGCTGGATGAGAGGAAGAAAGTGTGGACAGCTTTCTGCAGGCAGTGGTGGAGCCCCTTGGCTCACTACTTGGTGCTCCAGGGCCAAAGTCCTGGTTTGTCCTTTGTGCTGGAAAAAGATAGAGAACCACTGCTGCTTTCCAGAGCACCAGGGTTGTTTGACCACCCAGGACCTGGAGCAAGCTGGTTGTCCAACCCAGTCTCCTCGACTGCTGGGTTCCCGAGTGTGGCACTGTGCAGATGCAGCTGGGGGCAGGCAGGCGAAGAGGTAATGAGGCAGCTGGGGACAAGCCGTCAAGCCCTGGGGCTCGCCTGGCATCACGGCTGCTGGGAAAGGGCTCACTGGATTCTGTCCTTAGCCCTCTGGGAAGGGTTCGCTCAGCCCATGGGCTGGGTCACTCTCATGACTTCAATTACATCTCCACGCTGGCAACTCCCAGCCCCGCACCTCCATCTCCACTTGGATGTCTCCGAGTCAACGTGCCCCAGCCGAACTCCTGTCTTCTGCCATCCCATCCTTGCTCAGCAAAAGGCACGCCATCCTGCCAGTCACCCAAGCAAATACTGGGAGACATCCCTAACTCCTGCATGTCCCTGTCCTGTAACGAGATCACCAAAGTCTGTCACTTTTGCTTCCTCTGAAAATCCATTTCTCCTGCTCCAGCCCCACCATCAATCATCTCTACCCTGACTCAGCTTTCCGGCCTGGAGTATCACCCTGCCAGGCTACCTTCCATATTGCCACACAATAATCTTGGAAAACAGTTATGACCAAATGCATTCTTTGATTAAAGTGGCTCCCCCTCAGCTGTAGGATCAAGTCAAAGCTCTTCGGCAGGGCCCACGAGGCCCTTCCTCACTTCCACGATCTGTTCCGCCTCTCCTCTGTTTGAGCCCTGGCTACACCAAGCTGCTGTGGATGTGCGATGCCCAGCACCGGGAGGGCCCTGCTGGCGGATCTGTACTCACTCCCTGTGAACCAGCTCTTGAGTCAGCCTCTTAGTACAGCTGTTTCCAGCACACCCAGGCAGGATGGGGGCTTCCCTCATCCGGCACTTGTCACACACTAATGTGCTCGTCCAGGTTTGTGTCAGCCTCTCCACTGGACCGAGCTTCTCCAGGGTGAGAACTTAACTGCACCATGCTTTGGCTCCCAGTATTTGCAGAAGTGTTTGCTGAGTGAATAAATGACTGACTGACTGAAGCAAGTCCTAGGCTTGGAGGAATCCAGCAAGCGGCTTCTGAGTCCAAGACTCGTTTGTCCTCCAGTCACTGTCCCCCCGTCTCCCTGAGCCTGATGCCTCCCAAACTCTTTCAGACCTTCCCAGAGCAGTGAGCCACGCCAAGGCCTTGGGAAGCCAGCACCATTCATGGCCCAGAAGTCCTGGGGGTTGAGGCGAGGGAGTCCTCGGGGAGAAGAGGTGGTAGACCAGGGCTCCCCCCCACACCCACCTTCTTTTTCAGCTTGTGCCGGGCCCGCTTGGCGGCCCTGGCGCTGTTGGGGACTTTGGGGTCCGTGCTGTTGATGAATTCCAGCAGCTCATCCACATCTCGGTGGTCCACGGTGGGCTCCCCAGGGATCCCGCCCAGGGCGCCCCCCTTCATGGGCAGCTCCTCTTTCCGCCTGGTCAGCCTCGAGCGGAGTTTCTCCCGGATCTCGGTATAATTCCGACTCGTCGGAGCAGCGGGTGGCTGGGGGAGGGGGAGGTGCTGACATTACACCCCAGGCCTGGGAAGCCCATAGCACTCCCACCCGCTGGCACCAAACATGTGGTGAGAAGCGAGACAACTGTTCTTTCTACCAGGCCCACAAAGGCCAAATGGCTTCACTGTCAGCCAGGCCAGAGCCAAGGCAGAGGTGGGTGGATGGAGTGGGAGGTACGTGACAGTGTTGGGAGCATATTGGCTTGGGAGCCAGGAAAGCAGGTTTGAACCCAGGCTTCGTCACTTGGAAGCTGTATGACCTTGGGCAGGTCACTGAGTCTTGTGAGCCTCAATTTTATCATCTCTAAAATGAGGATAACCCCTAGCTCAAAGGTGACTAGCAATGTAATTACTTTCATTTCTCTGTCCTCAACTGCTCTCCCCTAGCCGGCGGCCCTTTCCTCTTCACCTTAGGAGACTTCTGAACTGCTTCCTGCCCCTGTCCAGAGACAGCATGTACTCTGGCGCCATCTGTGCTCAGGGCCTGTCCCTCGGCTGGCTCTCACACCTGGGGGACCGAGAGCCTTGCTTCCACTCTGCCTTCATCACGCACAAGCGTTCACTTCTCTGTGATTACACACGTACACATACTCATCAGAATCATAGCTTTCTCTCTGCCATTTCCTTTCCTTTTGCCTAAGGAAAAAAAGTCAATCTTAAGAGAAACCACGAAAAGAGCAAAGGCAGAAAAATGTTTTAAGAATCCCTACCTCGCCAGTGTGCTGTGAGGATCAACAGAGCAGACGCAGGTGTGAGGACTCACAGGGTCCCAGCATGGTTACTAGAGCAAGGGGCCTCTGGGGAGAGCGGGCGCACCTCTGGCTCACCTTGGCCGGCCCCAGCCCTCTGGCCTAGGGACGTTCACTCACCGCATTGTGGCCGAAGAACTCACAGTAGCAGCAGTCACAGAACTTCCCATCTCTCTGGTGGGTGGAGGACGAGGTGCAGGAGCTCCGCTCTGAGCTGCTGTCCTCTTCCTCGCCCAGCCCCTCATCTGCCTCGCAGGACTGGGGCAGCTGGCAGGCTTGGCCACTGTGTGTAAACTTGTGCCCCTTGCACACGGGGTCTCTGCTGATGGGGGAGAAAAACAGGCCCGAAGGTGAGAGGGCAGGGCAGGAGCCCGGGGAAGCAACCCCACCGTCGTCGTCCCCACAGCCCTTCAGCAGCCTCATCTTGTGAAGGCCGAGGCAGTCAGGCCACATCAGTGCCCTCACAAGAACAGGGCCAACACTCGCTGTCCCTCAGGGCCCAGCTCCACGGCGCTCTTCGGGAAAGATCCCCCCTGCCTCCCTTGCCCACACCCACCATGTGACTCTCCTGGACTCTGAGGGCTGGCATACATCTCTCTCTATCCTACTGTTACCACACTATTGAGACAATCTGTGTGTCTGTCTCAGACCAATCGTGCTCTCTCCTACGGGCAGGCACTATGCCACTTCTATTTTGGGTCCAGTGTTTAGCATAACAACCTTGTGCACAGTAGGTGCTCAGTAAGTAGGTGTCTGAACACATTAGTGGGCTGATGGCTCCCCTGGAGCATCCAAAGGAAGTCAATGGGATCAGTCTTTCACTCTTCTCTGAGGTCTTATGCCCGAGTGCACCAGTGGGCAAAGTTGCCTTGGCCGTGAGGCCCTGAGGTTAAGAAAGCAAACGTGCCTTGTGGGCCACAGACTCTAGGAGCTACTGTTTGGGCCAGGTGCTGTATTCAGCATATTATTTCTAACTATCCCCCAGGGCCTGCAAAATTGGTGTTGCAGTGGAGGAGACAGGCTCAGTGTTTCACCACTTTGCTCAAGGAGTGGCCAGGACTCAACCCAGGTCTGTATGCAAAGTTCACACTCACCCCTGCACTGCTCTGACTTTGGACTTCAGACAGCATGGGGCATCTTGTAATACAGACTGCTTTTCCAGGTAAGGAAGAGTCAGGCCTGCAAGTTCCCAGAATTGGAGCCAGAAGTGCCAGAGCCCGGGCTCCTACCCCCATGAGCAGTGGGAGGAGCCAGGAGGGGGCTGGACTCCAAGGCACAAGGTGGAAAAGGAGGGGGGCAGGAACCATTACCAGTGGTGCTTAGAGAAGCTTAATCCAAACTGACCATTCTTCCTCAACTACATTAGCAAAATTAAAATACCTAGTTTTCCCGAGAGTACAAGAGACCAGCACCCTACTACTGGTGCTATGTCATTTTGGAGAGTCCTCTGGAAAGCAATTTTACACTGTGTCCCTTCTCAAAAAGCAAAGTAAAGCAAATAAACAAAAAACAAGAAATACATCCTGACATCCTTTAAACCAAGAACCCTCATTCTGAGGGATCTATTCCAAGGAGAAAAATCCAAAAAACAGAAAAAGCTTTAGGCAAAGACATCTTTAGAGACGTTATTTATAATGTTGACATGTTGGAATGACCCAAATGTTTACCAACTGGAGAACAGCAAAGTGCAATGTGGAAAATATCCTCCAGTCTGTGAAGCTGAGGCTCAGAAGACCACACAGGAATGCTAAGTGAGACCAGGTGAATGAAAAACTGTACAGACACTGCCAACACCAAGCGGGAGACACAGCCGCCAACATAGAGCGGGAGACACGGCCGCCAGCACCAAGTGAGAGAGACACGGCCGCCAGCACAGAGCGGGAGACACGGCCACCAGCACCGAACGTGAGACACAGCCGCCAACACAGAGCGGGAGACACGGTTGCCAGCACCGAGTGGGAGAGAGACAGCGCCAACACCAAGTGAAGGAGATACAGCCGCCAATACAGAGTGGGAGACACAGCCGCCAACCCCAAGTGAGAGAGACATAGCTGCCAACACCAAGCGGGGAAGACACGGAAGGAAAACTGCTAAGAGTGGTTGTATCAGAGTGGTGGGATTTCTGGATGGGAAAATATAAATGTAAAATACACACAGATCTGATTTATAATACAAAAATACATATCTATCTTCTCCAAAAAATTGTATCTTTCAAATACATGTTAACATATGTAACTCAGTACCCAGAGTTACTTGGTGGACTCTACCATAAGGACATAACTCCTAACTCAAACACAGATTTGGGTGCAAGGATGCTTATCACAGACTTGTTTATAACGGTTAAAAACTGGAAATGCCTAAGTGTCTAGGAATAGGCGAATGAGAAAATAAATTATGCTAGAGCTATAAAATAAGACATTATGTGGCCACTGAAAAGTTTTTTGAAGAATCTCAACTGGGGAAATGATTCTCTGATGATGTTAAAAAATAACTACACAAAAATGTACATAGAACAGGGACCTAATTATGTTACATACAGAAACATCAGGAAGAAAAAAACACCGCAGCATTAGAAGTTTAGGTTATGAGGTCATTTTTTTCTTATATTCTAAAATTTCCCAAGTTTTAAAAAAATAATAAACACCTATTTCTTTTATAATTGGAAAAACAATGAAAAAAATCCATAAACAGAGTCTACCCTTTAATTTCCACCCAAAGGTACCCTCGGCAAAGCTTTCCCAAACTCCAAGTCCAAGTCAGCGGGAGCGTACCCTTTAGGCTGATCACTTACTCACTCACCTGTGGGTGCTCGGCAGCTGCTGCGAGCCTGGTGATGGGAGCAGGGGCCCACCGCAGTGCCCACTACAGGGGTGGCTGCACCCTGAGAAAGGTGGAGGCATCTTCAGGAGCGGCATGCTGGTGGAGGGCAGGTGAGGGCTCTGACATGCCCCTGGGGCGTGGGGGGTGGCAGCAGCGGCAACAGGGCATTCTGAAGCCTGGGCAGGGAAAGGTGCTACCGGGGTAGTGGGCAGCAGGTGTGGGGGTGGTGGTGAGCCAAAGGATCCAGGGTGAGATGGGATCAGCGATGCTGGCTGGGGGTGGTGGCCGGTGGGGCTGTTAGGTGGCACAGTGAGGTCTGCGTGCCGGTGGTGCTCCGAGATGGGGAAAACCTCGCCTGTGGGCAGATGGGGGAGAAAGGTGTCAGAGTGGGAGCCCAGACTCTGGAAAGGAAAACCCAAGGGCCCGCTGCCCCAGCGTCCTGCTTACTGTGACCAGAGGGAACTGTCTGGCACAGCCTCTCAGCACAGTGGACCATAAGCTTTCGGGAATGTCCAGCAGTGCCGCCTTGGGCTGGAGAGGTTTCGCTGCAGGCAGCAGCTTGGCTGGACAGGCTCAAGGAGCCCAGGCCTGCGGGAGAAGGCACCAGGAATGCCAGCCCCATGGAAGGCCACGCACCGCCACTGTGGCACAAGCAGGGGTGTGTTCGTCAGGGTCTCTAGTACCTGCTTCCTCAGGCCCAGGGTGGGATCTGCAGGAGCCAGCAGAGCAGCAGGCTGAGGACTGAGGGCCACCAGGACCGAGGCAGCTGGGGTACACCATCCTCTCTGGTGGCCCCGAATTTCAGAGCAGTGGGAGGATTTCACAACTCTGGTTTATGCCCCACAACTGGAACTGTACTGCTCAACTCTCACAATTCTGGGGGCAGCACCCCTCTGAAGAGCTCAGCCCCTCCTCTCAGAAGTAGACAATAATTCCGTATTTACACAGGACATCAATAACCCATGACTCTTCTCTTTGGGTCTCTCAGGGGCTAAAGAAGGCTTAGGCAGCTATGATACGGGCTAATAATCATGGCAGCCTTTTGTGGATGAAAGTGCAGCCTTTCATACCCATCCCTTAAGGAAGATGAAGGCACCCAGGTCCTCGGTGCTGCTGCACGGGTCTGGTGTTAGGTGACCTACGCCCTAATTCCCTAAGGGCCCTCCCAGACTCCACTTTCTATTCAGCCAGTGCTCACCAGGTCCCCTCCTGGATCCAATGGGAACAGCTACCAGAGCCAAACACAGCAGTGGTTTGCAACTTCAGGGTCCTGAAGAACGGAGACTGCCTCTGCGCCCACCAGAACAGCTCTACTGTCACTTAATTTAATAACTGATCTTCCGGCTTGTTCGAACAAAGGGGTTAGGAAAACACAGCTGTCCACATTTATGGGGCTTGGTTCTCTCCTGAGCTTGGAGACTCACCGGGGATGGCAGGAGGACTCCCAAGCGAGCTGCCCGGCACAGCCCCGCTGGAGTGCGGGGAGTTCCAGAGGCCCGAGAGCTTATGTGCTGACAGGAACGAGCTGGGATCCCAGTCCCCTGAGTTCCCATGGCAGGACGAGGATGAGGATGATGAAGAGGAGGACGAAGAGGAATGAGAGTCACCGCCACAAGACTGTGATTTGCAGGATGTGTGTGACAAGGAGATCTGGAGAAGAGGGAAGAAAAAGGCCCACGATGAAACAGCAAACATCAGAGCCGACCCTCTGCTGCCTAAGGTGACCCAGGAGCGCCTCCTCCTCCAGGGCTCCCGTGCTGTGGCCAAAGCACAGTCCCCACAACTCCAGGTGCAAGGGCAAATGCCTCGGCTGGGAGGGGCTGTACTGCTCCCCATGAAGTGAAGTGTGTGGGTACTGATGAGAGAGATTCTGGGAAGGGCAGAGACTGCCTGTCAACTCTGGGCCTTTGGGGAGTCCTGAGAGCTGCCAAGGAGAGGAGGGTCTTTAAGTCAGGAGTCCTGAGCTGAACTGACCCTGGGCAGACGGCAGTGGCTGGAGGGGTTGAGAAATAAGGATGGTCAGACTGCTGTGATTCAGGAGAATGGCAGGCCTAGCTGGCTCCCAGCATCCTGGAGGTCTTCTGAGGCACACTGCAGACCCTCAAGCCAACCTTTGCCCTCTATGTCATACTGGTTGGCTTTTACTTGTCACAGAGCTGAGGACAGTACAGTCACATGGAGGGGGCAGGGTCTCCATGTCCCAATACCCATGAGCCGACCCTCACACTATGCACAGACTCTCCTCAGGGGCTGGTGGGCTGCCTGAGGCCTCTCTCTCTTCTTCTCCCACGTGAACCCAAGCCAGTAATGCTGTGTGAATGCAGCCCAGCAGCCTCTCAGCAGCGGGCGTAGGGCCGCCCGAGGAGAGCCACCTGAGAGGACAGGAAGGAACAGCTCAACAGCCTGCTGTCTTTGGGCAAGGCAGCCCTCCTGCACTCAGGGACCCCGTCCCAGCGGTTACCTACCGCCACTGCATGCTCTCGACCTGTCTGCCTTTCATCTTCCTCCATGCTCCTTCGGCAACTCTGGCAGACCCACAGAGGCATCTCGCCTAGGAGATTTTTGACGAGCTTTGGCATGAAGTCAGGGGGCAGCTTCTCACCCTGCAACACCAGTCCGTTTTGGGAAGGACCTTCTTCCCAGCCTTTGCGTTCCCGATGACACAGCAGGCAGCAAGTCTGCACAGATTGGCTGGAGGTGGGGGGAACCTGTCCAACAGACAGAAACAGTTTCCCAGAAGGAGAAAGGCTGCTTAGAAATAATATTAACAATACAAATAATGTCACTCAGTATATGCCACGTATGGGATTAGGCATATTTTATACATAATTTTAGTCCTTATAACAGCTCTGCAAACTAGGTGTGCTTATTCCCATTTTTTTAGACGAAGAAACAGATTTTAAAAGTTAAATAAGTTGCCCAAGGTTACAGAGCTACTGAGTGGTTGAACTAGGATTTAAACCTCAGTGAGGCTGACTCCAAAGCTCATGCTCACACGCCCTAATGCCTTGATGTCCCCAAATCTTGAAGGTTAAAAAAAAGAAAGATGTCCTTTTCTTCTGATATGTCCGGGAGAGGCCACAATCCTTGGGCCGTCTGTGCAGTCTACAGACCAATCCCCACCTGGAATGAAAGAACGCTTCAGTTAATGCAGAGTGTGGGAGAACATGCAGGCTTCCTGAAGAGCTGTGTAATTCCATTTAGGACCACAGCAGCATTTCGGAGGAAAGGTTTGTAGAGCTACTCAAAAGGCATCAAGTCAACTGAAAACTGAGTTGGAGGGAAGGTAAGGTAGACCCTGGTGCTTCTGAGAGGTAAAAGTTGTGGTGAAAAGTACCTGGGCTTTGGGGGTCAGACTGACGTGCACTCTAATCCCTGCCTGACCACATATTAACTGGGTGACCTTGAGCAAGTTATTTAACCTCCAGAGCTCTGATTTCCTACCCACTTTGCAGAGTTGTTGTGAAGCTCGATGCATGAACAGGAAAAGCGCCTAGCCCTGTGCATGCCCATGGCATAGTCTCAATACACAGCAATTCTTATTTGGACTTTTTTTTCCTCCTAGGACAAAGGTGACCTCGAAATATAAGTCTACTGATTTTCTTTCACATTGAGGGGTACTGACTGGGAGACTGATAGCATTTAATGACCCCAATTAAAGGCCTTCCTGTGTCCTACTTTATAGTCTCCTCTCACTCTGACACTGGGCTTGGTCATGTCACTTTCTTTGGCCCACAGGATGTTAGCAAATATGCCGCCGGAGTAAGCTTGAAAAGTGTATGTGCATTTCTACTTGCGTCCTTGCATGGCTGGGCTTGCTCGCTCTCGCACCTCTGCCATGCCATGAGCATGACCAGGCTAGCTGCTGGAGGGACGTGAGAGGCGTGTGGAGAAAACTGAGCTTTTCTAGCTGACTGGCCGGCGGAGCAGATACAGGAATGAGTCCCGCCTAGATCAACCAAGCCAGCCCTGACTGGCAAAAACACCCAGTCAACCCACAGACTCACGAGAAGTAATAAATGGTATTGTTTTAAGCCACTAGGTTTTGGGGTGGGCTGTTACATGCAACAGTTAGCTGATGTACCTTCCAAACTTACCCACCACTAGGTAAAAGTGTATACAGAGGCCTAAGCAGAGGAATAATCCTCACCCTACAGTAAAATTAATGACATCACCTTTCCTGAATAAAATCACCTTTTCACAAGAAGTAGGCATCAGAGTACCTTACATCTGTAACGTTACAATTACTGACCCAGGTCCCTGATTTCTAGGAAAAGAAAGGAACCAAACAGTGGTACCAGGAGCACAATGAAACATTTGGGGAAGTATAAGAACCCTGGAAAAGAGTAAGAGAGAGAGAGAGAGAAACCTTACATGTGGAACTCATATGAGATACTAACAGCCTAAATGGTCTCTGCCAAGGGAACATTTCAGTGAGCAAGGCAACTGCTCAGTGGAAACTGCAAAAACATACAGCCTCCTAGAATCCACTGACGGTGAGTATCTCATGGAAAGGGTGCAAGGTGGATGGAGGAGGATGAGGGTCAGAGAAGTTAAGGCAAATGAGGTCTTTTTGCGAAGTGTACCCAGGAAATTTTCCATAGCTACAAGTGCCGTAGGAACTATAGGGAGAGGAGGTGAGGCCAACACCCACATCCCTTTCCCTGTAACGATGATGACCATAGTCTAAGGCAAACACCCAGACATGTAATTTTACTTCAGTAGAGTTCCATTTCATTTGGGTGTTAGGTTCTAAAGTGATTACACAGATAAAAATCTTATATGAGTAAAATTATTCTTTAAATTCTTTATAGGGCCTATGAAGTACAGCATATATGGTTTTTTAGGTACGATCAAGAATTCAAATATATAATATACAGTATACTGCAATATACGATAAGCGTTTTTTCTTTTAAAAACAAATACAGAATTCTTATGTTAAATGTGTGATCAATGTGACTATGTAGTGCCAGAGTACTCGTGGGAGGCACTAGGGTACAGTGCAAACAACACTGGCTTTGGCATTAATCCTGGGCCTCCACCATTTACCAGCTGTATGATGCTGGGCAAGCTCTACTTACTGTCTCCTCATCTGCAAAATGCAGCTGGCTGTAGGGTTGGCTGTGACAGAGCACCTAGTCCACTGCCACACCCATAATATGTTGCTCAACATATGGTACTAATTATGAGCCGGAGGAGAGCGATAGAAAACAGTACTTGAAATCAGGACTAGGGTGGGAAATATAGAAAATACGGTCACTGTATTTTACAAGAATTCAAGTATCTCTCACATGCAATGAATCTAAGGTGACTTGTTAGACATCTTAATCTTTGCCCTCAACTCCAGGAATTCGTTCCTTAAGTTCCCCCAATACTCTGTACTCTCTTACCTCATGCCTGTGCTAAGGGGATCATCTGCTAAAAAACCCCCTCCTACCCACGTTTACCAATAAAGAGGGGGTAGCTCAGGGCTTATGCTCAGCTGGGCACATAGCAGCTAGTGAGATTTGTCAAGTGTTCCCACAGCAATACAGCTGGCAGGCAGCTTGGTGAGACACTGCTTGAAATTATTGCTTCCCACAGAGAAAGGCCATCTCCCCACCCTGGACCTCCACCCGAATGGCTCCAATCTCAAGTGTGGAAGAGTGGAAGACTGCATTCCTTAGAGATTACAGTGAGATGCCTCTGTTCATGGAAATAACATGACTCTCTAGAGCAGTGGGTCTCAACCTTCCTAATGCAGTGACCCCTTAATACAGTTCCTCATGTTGTGGTGACCCCCAACCATAAAATTATTTTCGTTGCTACTCTATAACTGTAATTTTGCTACTGTTATGAATTGTAATGTAAATATCTGATATGCAGGATGTATTTTCATTGTTACAAATTGAACATAATTAAAGCATAGTGATTAATCACAAAAACAATATGTAATTATATATTGTGAAATATTTATAATTCATGAAGTGTCGTTTTACCTCCAATACTGCTGCTTTCTACACAGTAGCTGCTTTCTACACAGTAGCTGCTCTCTACACATGTGTGACTGGTCCGCATAAGTACATTATGGCGCCAACCCTGTCACATACACCTGTATTTGTATGGGGTGTATATGATGGAGTTGGTGCGATGATGTCATCACGCCGGGTATTCGTATGTGGGTGTATCTGCATGTGGGCGGACCCACCTGGAGACGGATAGAGGAGCGGTGTCTCGGTTCCTAAGACCATCAAAAATATGTGTTTTCCGATGGTCTTAGGCAACCCCTGTGAAAGGGTCGTTCAACCCCCAAAGGGGTCATGACCCACAGGTTGAGAACCACTGCTCTAGAGCCAAACTGGTACACATAATAAATGAGATTAGCCATCAATGGAAGTGAATTTACAGGACAGGCGTCTTTCCAATTAAAGGAAGAAACACAGGGCCTGAGAAGCTAATTAACTCCTAACTGAAGCAGGGACAATACCATCTACATTGCGTAAGGTTGCCCAGAGAATTAAGTGACATTAGAGATGCAAAGCTTAGTTCAAGGAATCTGCACAGTAGGCACTCAATCTGTTATCTAGACCCCTTGGCTCTTCTGTTCTTGTAAGTCTAAACTAGAAGCTGGCTTATTCACTGTCCTGAGTTTGGTATACTCGACCCCTTCCTTCTAGGCCCAGGCAGTTCTGGGGGCAACCCCTAAAGCTGTCTTAACCCTCCGCTTTGGTTCCTGCACCTGGATACAATAGCTGGTGGGGCCTGGGGACTTATCTCTCTGATGTTTTTGTCTCTAACTGCCAGATGGTGGTGTGAATCCCAACCCCTGGAGATATTATATTTGGTCAGTACTACCACTTTTCCTTCATATTTTTGCTTTGGAAGAGACAAGCTTTTGGTTCAAATTTCTTTGACTATAACCTCCTGCCATTTTCCAAATTCCCGGCAATCATGACCCCTTATGCCCTGAAATCAATCCAAACTTTCAACTAACTGTTCTCAAGCTGTGTTTTGAGCACCTGGCACTTATTCCCACACAAAGAACATGATCAACAAATATTTATCAAATGAGGACCGACCGAGTGGCGCGTTGGTTAGGAGTTGGCTTGGGATGCCAGCTCTGAGCAGCAGGGCCCCGGTTTGGATCCCACATGAGGGCCAGTGACACTGTGCCCTCTACAGCTAAGATGGTGAACAACAGCTCGACCTGGAGCGGGGCTGCCGTTGAGTCGCCAGTGACTGCGTAGGCTGCAGTGGGGCTGGCCGGCAGCGGGTGTGAGCTTTCATGAGCTGCCGTCCAATGGCTGGCGAGCAACTGCCTCACCCAGGAAGAGCGCAATGATCACAATACCAACATGGGCCAGTGAAGCGATGTCCTCCACAACTAGACTGAACAACAAAAGGACAGCAACTTGTCTGTTCCCCTTCCCCCGTTCCCCAATAAAATCTTTAAAAATATATGTATATATTTATCAAATGAATGAAACATCCAACCATTTTCCTTCATCACAAAAGATGATGGAACTGATTCTTAAACCCGGCAGTCCTGGGCAACAACTGATTATTCCTTCTCACCTCAGTTTAAATTTCAGAGCCTCTCCAGATACAAGTCTAGACTTAGGCAAAAGATGGGAGAAGAGAAAGGAAAGGTTCTAGGTGTTCTCCTGAGTTCGGATCTGTTCAAACAAGCTCCAAGATAATTTTGCTTCACTCCATGAGCAAAGCCAGAATATCTGGACAGTGTGGGGTTACTCACACAGAGGATCCAGGTTGTAGTACTCACATCCCCAGAGCAGTCAAGGAGCCAGGTGAGCCCTAGGCCATGGTCACTCCCAGCCCAGGGGGCTAGCATGCACAGCCATTAAAACCAGTATCTCTGCTCCCTCACCTGACCAGGCCCAAGACTTTTCTGTCTTCATCTAAAAAGCATTATGCTAGGCATTCTAGTTTTTCCTGGATAAAAAGATAAAATCAAAGAAAGGGGAAGCCACGTTTTTCAGGGAACACCATTTGCACTTGAAAGAATGGCTAACAAACTATCATATTTGGACCTGGGTCCTGGCAGACATTTTCTAAAACAAAATTAACAAAATGAGCCTGTCACTTTAAGGAAAACAGTTTCTTTGTAGCCAGTGATAAAAAGCAACCTTTTGAGCAAAACTTAGAATTCTGGATAACCTGTATCCACCACCAAGAGCTTGACAACTTCTCAATACTTAAAGACTTTTCTGATGTAATTGGTGGTGATGTTAACAAATGTTATCTTTGATATTACAAAATGAAACGGAAAGGGCAGCCAGTTAGCTCAGGTGGTTACAGCGCAGGCTCTTAACACCAAGGTTGCCGGTTCAATTCCCACATGGGCCAGTGAACTGCGCCCTCCACAACTAGACTGAAAACAACCACTTGACTTGGAGCTGATGGGTCCTGGAAAAACACAGTTCTCCAATAAAGTTAAAAAGAAAAAAAAAATGAAATGGAAAAACATTTAGAAGATCTGCACAACTCAGTGAACCTACTTTCCAAATAATCAAAGCATGATGTTAAAGAATCATATATTGGTTAACAGTCCACTGAAATTGCTAGCCGGACCAACAGATTTTCATGTAAATGAGTATAAAAACTTTACTGATATGGTCTCAGATTCTACACTGCAGAGAAGAATATCAACAACCATTTGGAAAGGCGATTAAGCACTCCTCCCTTTTCCAATTAGGTATCTGTGAGGCTGTATTTTTAAAATTTATTCAACCAAAACAAGGCATTGCAACAGATTGAATGCAGAAGCATATATAAGAATCCAGTTTTTTTATATTAATCCAGACATAAAAATAATGGCAGAAATGAAAACAAGACCATTCTCATTCCTTTTTGTTTTGGAAAATAGTTATTTATTTTTCATTAAAGAATTAGTACATTAACGTGATAGGTTTAATATAGTTATTCTCAAATGAATTTGTAACTAAATATTTTTAAACTTTCTCAGCTTTAATACTTAATTTGGTAGATTATCAATAGATATAACCAACACGAGCTCTTCTGGGTCCTCAATACTTTTTAGGAATGTAAAAGGGCCCCAAGACCAAACACTTCGAGAACCACTGGTGTAAAGCGTCTAATGGTGCCTGTCACCCAGTGGGTGCCCAATAATCAATGGTGATAAACAATGATATAGTTCACAACATATCTGGAGAGCTTTTGGGGGGCATAAATAAATTCTGCCCTCAGCTGTTCTGTCCACAATTCAGGAAATGCTGGGGAATAACCTGGGTCACCAGACCAGGCAGCTGTTAAGAACTGCTCTGAAGCTGGTCTAATTTCCAGCACTAAACCTGCTCCCTTTCCTCTTATGGATTCCTCATACTCCCAAGAGTTCATGTATGTTTGTAGAGGGTTCCCCCAAGACACATGCTGTATCTAACCAGCGGCCCTGCAACAGCTTCCAAATTCTATTCTGAAACGGCCCACTAGAGCACTCTACTCTCAAGGCACCCAACTCCAAGAGCCTTCCTGTCTCCAAGGCAGGCAGAAGACAACAGTAGCAGCTAAAGTTCTCTTCCAGAAACAAAGAAAATAATGAATCCCTAGCTTGGAAAAACTCATCAGCCCAGTAATCACCATTCACTCTTCCGTTCACCAATTCATTCCCTCATTCAACAAACATTCCCAGAGCCCTGGCCTGGTGCCAACCATTGTGCTAGGTGCTGGGAAACACCTTAAGAACACATGCTTAAACCAGGCAGGTTCATGCACTGGGTTGTCAATGCACCCAAACTCCCAGGATGCCTCAAATTCATTTTAGAGAATCAGGCAGGAACACAAATTAAAATAATACACAATTATAATTAATACACAAAAACAACCAACCAGGACACTGGGCTCCTCTACTTAATGTAAGCCTAGTATGTGCCTTTTTGCATGTGCGTACCCAGTTTGATGGCGTCTTTCCTTTAGCCCCTCTTTCCTACCTTGGTCTCTCTTTAGTCTTCAGGCTTCTTTCGTTGAGCTCATTACCATGGCACTCTCTGGCCCCTGGCATTCATGACTTGTCCCCAGCTGACCTCTCCATGCTCCATTTCCACCTGAGAACCTTGGGTTCTATTCATACTGTTCCTCAGATACACCTTGCCTTTTATTTATTTATTTATTTTTAGCTGAGCCATCCTGCCACCTGTTGGCAGCTCAGCAGCAGCTCAGCTCGGGCCGGGAATCGAACTGCTGTTGCTCAGAGCTCGCACTCTTGAGCGAGCTCTTAACCAACTGAGCCACTCGGCCAGCCCACCCTGCCCTTTAAACCTTAGTCCCTCAGCTATATTCCTTGGCAAATTCCTACTCACCCCTAAGATCCTGGTTAAAGGTCAATGAAGCTTTTGTGGGACCAGGCTAAGTAGAGCTAATTCTGTAAGTATTGCACCTATTACATTGTGCCATAGACATAATCCCTGTCAGTCCCAAATCCCCGGTAGAATGGGAGCTCTTTGGGGGCAGGGAGTACACCTTGGTCCTTTAAGTGTGCCCAGGAACCTAGGCTTGGCTTGGACCTGGCACCGAGCAGGCATTCACTGAATAAATGAACAAATGCTTAAAGCCCATCTGGCTCACATCTCAGCTGCTCTACACAAAGGAGAAAATCTAAAACACAGCTGAATCAGCCCTTTCCCGACATGCTAGGCTAAAGGCATGGCTGCGTCAACTCTGGGCCACTGAAGAGAAAGCATCAGTGCTCAGCATCTCAGACCATTCTAATGCGGGTGATCAGAACTGTAGTTAATTCTTAGTGAGCTGATATAACCACACCTCAGTACCCTGGAGCTTTCACCCAAACTCCCACCCAGGCTGTTGGCTTAGGTCCTCCCAGGAGGCAGGACAGTTGTTTCATACCATAAAGCCAGTTTGTGGCGAATCCTCTCTTGTACAAGCTGAGTCAAGGAGAGGTCAGTGAGTCTCTCTGACCCAGTGGCCTCCCACACCCCCAAGGCTAGCTCTTCTGTTGAACCTGCTTTCTGGATGCGATCAGCCACAGGAAGGCCTGAGCTAGGGCTTCCTGACCTGGAACCTCAAGCACACTGTATTACCTACTACTCTATAACCCCAGCACAGATATCTCATGGGTGGAAGAGTATGAACTTTGGAGACAGACTATTGTGAGTTCAAATCCCAGTTCTGCCATTTTCAATATGCTCTTAGATTATTACTCAATTTCTTTAAGCCTCAATTTCCTCATTTAAGAAATCAGAATGAAACCATACTTCACAGAGTTGTGAGGACAGAAGGAAATAAATTATGTCAAGTACCTGGCCTGGGCCTGGCACACAGTAGGTGCTCAATACCCGTTAGTTTCTTTCCTCTTCTGTCCTGGAAGAAATGACAGGGAAACTTACTAAGTGAGACTTGCCCAATCCAAAGTTATTACTTGAAGCACAGGACAGAGGATTAGACAGGTGACCTTCAAGGCCTCTTTGAACCCCCCCAGTCCACAGGCTTTGGCTTCAACTTCCTAGTAAGAATCTTGAGTGTTTCAGGCCCCTTCTTTCTGCCTTAGTCTCTCTGTATCTATTCGTTTCAGAATGGAGGGGAACCACAAAGGGAGATGGGGAACGAAGAGCCTTGGGTAAGGAATAAAGAGGAGACGGCCTGTAGGACTGCAGCATGGGCACAGAACTGAAGGGTGCAGACATGGGGCCCTTCCCAGGACGCTTCCCCTCAGTCCTTTTCTGCTCTGCACATCCTGCCACAAAGAACCATTAACCATTCCTTTCCCCAAATACATAAAGCACTCACACCTTCACTCATGGTTCCCTCTGCCTCTTCCTTTTTAGGATCAGTTTGGGTGTTACATTCTCCTAAGTCTACAGGCAGAATGAACTGTGCTTTGCTCTGGAATGCTCTAACCGTTTTTTTACTATCTCTCGAATAGAGCTTATCACAGGTATCCCAGTTGTTGAAATCTACCTTCTCCATAACATTGTGAGCTTTGCAAGGGCAGGGCCTGTCCCATGATTCATTGCATCCCAATCGTTCAGCACAAGTAGGCATGGGTTAAGAGTTCTGATACAAAGCAAGATTAGCACTTGGAGAATATCATTAACAGGGCAATAGCTAAAGAACTGGGAAAAGTTTGGTTTTTGTTTCTTTAAAACTAAGGCTGTTTATATTCCTGCTTATGGAAAAGCTCCCCGTGCCCCCCGCCTACCCCCTGGGAAGCCCCATTCTTTGAATATCCTAGGCCTCCGCAAAGATCCCCACAGCACCCTCAATTCAGCAGTTCCCAGGCCCAGCCACACATCAGAATCACCTGGGGCAATTTAACAACAATAGACTCTGATTCTGTATATCTGGGACAGGGTCCAGCAAAGCACAGGGGATCTGATGATTAGTTAGGCTGGGGTAAGGGAGAGGTGGACTCAGGCAATCACAGCTGCCTCTCCCACTGAGAATTTACTTCCTCCCATGCTATCAGAGAATTTAGTGAAGCATGTCTGTCCACTTTCCTACTTAAAACCTTTCATTGATTCCTCATTGCCTGCAGGATAAAGCCCAAACTTCTAGGTGTGGTTTTCAAGAACCCTGTTAAACTCTCCAGCCTGACCTCTCGCCACTCTCTCATGAGATGGGCACGTCTTGCCTCCGGGTCTCTGTCTATGCTGTTTCCTTTGTTCAGACACTTTCTCCCACCTCGTTGTCTGGAGGAACTTCTATTCGACCTTGAAGCCTCTCCGAAAAGCCTTCTCTAGGATATGTCTGTGCATCCTCAGCACCAAGCATCTATAATAATGAAAGCACCACTTATGCTCAGTGCTTGACATGCAATACTGGCCAACCCCTAACATGAGCCTGGCATCACTGTCATTTTATACATGAGAAAACAAACCAAGAGGCTGAAACACTTTCAAAGATTGGTACTAGGATCTAGGATTTGAACCCTAACTCAGAGGAAGTGATGCTCTTCTAGCCTCACTGCAATTACTATATACGTGTTCTCTAGACCATGAGCCCCTGTGGGCAGGGCCCAGGTCTGATTCGCATCTGCATCCCCAGCTAGCCCAGGGCCTGGCGCAGATCGGGTGTCCATTGGTGCCTGCAAAATAAATGAACACCCAGGTCAGGCAAAAGGAAGACTGGGCATGGTGTGTGCAATGGGTCTAAATGAATGAATGAATGCCTGCCTGCCTGGTCCCGCAGTGAGGGCAGGTAAGAACGAAGTGGTAGAAACCTAACTTACTTCTTTTATTATAATTTAGTTTAACAACCATTTTTTGAGCGCATAAGGACCAGGCACAATAAATATTCCATAAATGAACTAAAACATAACTCAGTTCTCACAAATTCTAGGTTCAGTAAGTAAAGATGTTAGGATCTTAACAGTCCATCTGATATCAGATATTGAGCTTATAGCTCTGGGATATTTTAAAATTAAAAGTTTTTAAATCTTGGCAGGGAAGTTTTCATCTTCAAAGGCCTTTTGGCATTTCTACATAGTGAATCTTTACTGGCTTACAAAGAAGAACCAGAGGTGGCAGGAATCCCCCCATCGTTATCATTTCCTCCTACTGGCAATGAAAATACACAGGCTGGGTGAACTGTGATTTTAAGGGGAAGGTCTCGGGGTATAGGGACTATCTTAATCATCTGTGTACCCTGGCACAGAGGTGGTAATGCTTACTGAGTGGAATAAACATGAGATGGTCTTAATAAAGATACTGACTGATCATCTGCTCCAGTCCCTTAAGGGAGCAGGTTTAACTCTGAGCAGTGAGGGAACCACGTCTCTAGAGTCCCTTTAAACTAGGCTGGGCACAGTCCCAGGGGATGCTGTAAGGGAGATCAGAGATGCGAAGGGCAGGACAGGCTCAACCCCCACCAACTGATGGTTTATAGTCTAGGAAGTCTCCTGGGGGTTTACTGGGTGTGTACCTGGATTACAAGCTGAGTGGTCCAACAGAAACCTAAAGACAGCTAGCAGAGCTGGCAGGTAAGAACACCTGAGCTTTGGATGGCCATTTGGCACAGCTCCCGACACATACTACCCCTGACTCCTGCTCTTGTGTGAGGAGCTTCGATGTGCTAGGTGCTAAGTGAGTTGCTCCACATTGTCTTGTGAAGCTGCCGATGAGGCTCAGAAGGGGAGGAACAGACCAGAGTCACAAAGCACAGGGCCTGAGCTTGGAGTTCACCCCAAGTTTGAAAACTGAACACTGTTTCTCACTGCCTCCTTCAACTGCTTTGTAAGGTTTTTTTTCTTTGCTAATAAGGCAGTAACTGTCTTCTTGTGAAGTAAATGAGGATTTGGGTTCTTAGTGAACAGTTCAATGTAGTAGTTTAGTGGCCTGAAAGAATCAGAAGTAAACACTTTTGGGATCCCAATTAAGCTCAAGGTCATGCATTTAAATATGTACAGGTTATGCAAATGAATGAAGGGGATTTGATGGAACCAAAGTGAGTGGACTATGAACCTTAACTCAGAGGAAGCGATGTTCTTCTAGCCTCACTGCAAGTACTATACATGTGGTTCTCTAAACCATGAGCCCCTGTTGGCTGGGCCCAGGTCTGATTCACTTCTGCCTCCCCATCTAGCCCAGGGCCTGGCACAGAACAGGTGTCCACATGCTAAAGGGGTCAGACACCTCTCAGAGACTGCAGATTACCGCCTCGTGGAAATGTGGGCCCAGTAGCACCAGACTTTTAGAGTTTTAACAGACAGCACAAATCCAGTTTTGTGGGAAACTGTTTGATTTTTAAAATATTGGCTCAAATCAAAACAAAAATAAAACAAAGTGTGACTTGGGACATTAGAACCTGTCTGTGTACTGGAAGTGGTCCAATTTGCTGTCTCTGGCTTCAGGTCTGCATGCAACACTGACTTTCACCTTCCTTACCCACTCTGGGTACATAAGACAGGGTTGTAAGTGGCAGTGGGAGCAAGAGGTCCCCACCAAAGGCATGCCTGTGGGCAATGACTGACCCTCTCAGCCAGGTGCTTTTCATCAGGGCACAAAAGCCTGCTTCTGGAATCCAGAACTCCTCTCCCCGGCAAAAAAAAAGGGGGCGCACAATCAGAAGAGAGTTTGCCAGTCAGTTTCACCTCTTTGTGGCTACAGTTAAAAAAAAAAAATGCTGTGAAAAATCCCCCACAGGACGCAAGTGTGTCCTGGGGGGGGGGGTGCAGTGCACTGAGACTGATAATGGAAGCTATTTGGGCAAATGTTTAGTTGTTCTGAGTTTCTGTTTCTTCATCTGAAAAATAGGGTAATAGTATTTATATCCTTCAGTTCATTCATTAACATTTGTTAATCACCAGGCATGGGGTATAATAGTGACTCATTGTTTCCTGCATGCTTAGAGTTTATACAGTGAAAGCAGACAGATAATTACTCCATTAGTTAATTCATCACATTTTTGCTAAATGCTGAGGAGAATACATGGGTGGTGGAAAGATTAGAAGTAAAGTATTGGGTTGTCGGAAAAGTCATGACGCATTTTTGCAACGAAAAACAGAAAAAACACGTCATGACTTTTCCGACAACCCAATATACGAAGTGCCTGACATAAATGAATGAATGAAATGGCAAGTAAAGCAGCAGAGTAGGTAAGAACATGATAGGAACATAATGTGTTAATGAAGCTTATAACTCTTAGGAAAGATGTATCCTAAATAAAAACTAGAGGATCAAGCCACCATCCAAACTCTCTGGCCATGAATACTTTTGGCTGGCTAAGTGGCAGGGGACCCTCAAGTTTTGTATGGCCTGAATGGGAAGGAGAAAACAATAGCTCCCTGGCTCTCCCTTCCCTCACTATCCCCTTTTGGATAGCAGCACTCCCACGGGGGTGCCCAGAGAAGGCAAAGAGAAAGCTAGAAGGGGAAGCAGCTTCAGGGTCAGAAGTCAGACTAGGTGAGAGTAAGCTCCAACCTGGGAAGTGGAAACCTTTGGAACCCATCTCAGCCCGGGGTAGGGGGTGGGGGTGAAGGTGGGGCTTCTGACACTCAGTAAGTAGTGACATTTTCATTAATTAAAAATCTTACTGTGATCTGAGACACAAAGAAGACCAGCATCAACAACACAGGGTTACAATAAGCACAGTTTCTCAACAGATTCATTCTTTCTCTCATTCACCTAGTTATTTCTACTCTGTGTCAGCAAGGCCCAAGGCGAGGCATGGAGGACCAGAGATAGATGACATAGGCTGGGCCTCTGGAGTTTACAGTCCAGTGTGGTAACAGACACATCAACAGAATGCTTCATCAAATCACAGAATGGAGAGTGATACCAGAGGGAAGCACAGGGGGCTGTGGGTACAGAGGGGGCACCGCACGCAACTCTTGAGGTGAGGGAAGGCTTTCTGGGAATGGTACCCCCAACGGCATCCCCACTCACATGCACAATTCCAGAGATTCTACTAGAAGGCTGTCAAGAGCCATGCCTTCTGGCTGCACCAGCCTCCCAGAGTCCCCTGCTGCCCGATGCAGTGTCTGCAGAGTCAAACGCATCTTCCGCCACGCCTCAGCCTCATCCGGCGCCGCATCCGACCCTCCAAGACTCCTGCAGGAGCCTGCCTTCCTTGGCAGGCTCAGCCAAAAGACCAACTCAAAACTCTTTTGTCAGAGCAAGCTTAGGGAGAGCCACCCAGCCCCAGGTGCCACAACCCTCCCAGAGCAGCTGTGGCTCATGCCACCCGGGCCTCTCCGTGAACACTGGCACGGTACCTCCCATTAGCTCCTTTGCTCAAAAGAAAGTGACCTTCTTCCAGGCGGCAAGCTGGAAGCTTTGGCGAGTCCTCCTATTGCTCCCTCTCACTAGGATTCGCCAAACCCAGGGAGATGAGGGTCGGAATGGGAGCCTTGTAGGTCCAGGGGTATAGACGGAAAGGGCAGGCTCTGCTGGGCGTCCACCTCAGCGCTGGAGCCCCACCAAATAGTCTTCTGGGCAGCCTGGCTGTCTACTCCAAATGCTCCGCTGGGCAGGGAGAGAGGCCCCAGGAGACACACGCTGGGGGCACAGCTGCTGAGGGGGCCGTGGCTGCAGGCAGTGAGAGGAAGGGGTGGAACCGTTCCCAGGGGGTAGAGGGAAGAGGCTGCAGCCTTCCAGGCCCCAGCACCCTGTGATGGCCCGTGGGTGGGTGGGGGAGCAGGTGGGGCCGCGGAAGGTGAAGGGCAGTGAGCTGAGCTGTGGCCTCAGAAACAGAGCCCGGTCCCAGTGTGGGACCTCTCTGCTCCAGCCCGGAGTCGGCAAGAGAGGGCAGGCAGTCTGGTCTCAGGAGAACAGAACGGGCCGAGCCTCAGCTTTGGAGAGAGGGGTCTAGCCTCCACCCCGGCCTCGGCGGAGAAAGCCTCAGCCCCGGCCCTGGGGGCTGGAGGCAAGATGGTCCATCCCCAAGCCCATCCCTGCCCCGCTCCGGAGAAGTGAAATTGCCCGAGCAGCCGGACTTGCTTCGCTCGCTCCTACCTGAGGGCCAGGCGTCAGCTTGGGCTCGTCCTCCTCCCTGGGGCCGTCGCGGTCGGGTTCCACGGGCGCCTCCGGGGGCCCTGCACCCGCTCCCGTTTCCAGGCTCGGCGGCGGCGGGGGCTCGGGCGCCTGGGGCTTCTGTGGCCCCACGGCCCGCGCCCGCTCGCGCCGGCCCGCGCCGCCGCTCGGCCTGCTCCGCCTCCGAGTCATGCTGCTGCTCGCGCGGCTCCCTCGCTTCACTCGCGCCGCCGCCACCACCGCCGCCGCTCCCCTCGCAGGACAACAGCCAATATGGCGGCGCCCGGCTCCCCCCGCTGCCAGCAGGTCAGAGGGCACGCGGAGTCCGCGCCGCCGCACTAGCCCCCGAGGCTGCCTGCGCCATTTTGAATAAGGTCACCACCCGGAGTCCGTGGGAGAAAGAACCTGGTGAGCAGACGGACACCCGTCCAGTCCCGCGACCCGAGGAATGCGACGTGAGCTAGGAGAGAGGGTGTCCGCTGTGGTAACCGCGCTGCACGACACTGGACGCTTAATAACTGCCTGTTAAATGGATGAGTGAATTAATTAGTTTAGGTAGTGCTACGGTGTTTTCACATTCATGACCTGACTGCTCGCACTCTCACGGAGAGGCAGGTACGGTCGTCCCATTTTGTAGCGGAGAATATCGAAGCTACAAAAGGCGAAATGGTTGCTCACCATCATCTGGCCAGAATTCGTGGGCTCGTGGACGTCCTAACCTGTAAGGGACGAAGGGATCGTCTAGGTTTTTATTTGCAATGTATAGTCAACTGGGAGTACAGCGTTCCGTGCTTGGGACAGCAGGACTTAGACCCTGGTCCTTCTCCCCGAGTCTGGTTATAAAACCGGTGTGATAAAAATGAGATGACTGGGATACATACTAGGTCAATGTTTCCAAAAAGTGGTATGTGCAGGAGAAGATTTTGAATAATATGTACACAAAGGAATGTTTTTTAAAATGTAATCATTATGTATTTAATTGTTGAAAATAGGATTTTTCCCTTCTCCTTTTTTTTTTATAACACATGCACGTGGTACAAATTTTTAAAAAAGTTTTGAGTGCAGTCTGTCTCAAGCCAGGGACAATGGTACCCTGAAACTAGATAGTGGTTATATGTAGAGTTCTTATTGATGTCATCAACAGAGGCAGAATCTTGACATTGGCCTAAAAAAACAGCAAGGGCTATTTTGAGAGGAAGGGATAATGGAAGGCCCTGGGGCTCTCCTTAACTGCCAAGAATATATATAATTATTAATACTTCATCTCATCACAGGGATTAGTGCCACTACCAAAGACTTGAAAGATCAGGGTGATTCCCACTATATCACCATTACCTCTTCAGTTTGGCCAAAATAAAAGATAGGTGGTATTTTTCCCATTTATTGTGGTAAAATACGCATACCATAAAACTTACTATCTTAACCATTTTAAGTGTACAGTTAATTGGTATTAAGTACATTTATATGGTCCTGCAACTATCACCACCATCCATCTCCAGAACAGTTTTCATCTTGCAAAACTGACATTCTGTACCCATTAAATGATAACTCCCCTTACCCCCTCCACCCAAGCCCCTGTCAACCACTATTCTTTTTTTTTTTTAAGATTTTATTGGGGAATTGGGGAAGGGAACAGTGTTGGGGGGATTGGGGAAGAGGAACAGCCAAGTTGTCCTTCAATCTTAGTTGTGGAGAGCGCAGCTAGCTCAGCTCCAAGTCCGGTCGCCATCTGGCCACCCATTGGTAGCTTACGACAGCTCAGCTCAAGGTGCTGTGTTCAAACTTAGTTGCAAGTGTGTAGCCCACCATCCCATGCGGAAGTCAAACCAGAAACCTTGTTGCTAAGAGCACATGCTGTAACCACTGAGCCATCTGGCCACCTGACAACAGTTCAGGGCAGCTCAGCTCAAGGTGTTGTGTTCAATCTCAGTTGTGGGTGGGTGTAACCCACCATCCATGTGGGAGTCGAATCAGCAACCTTGTTGTTAGGAGCACATGCTCTCACCAGCTGAGCCATCCTGCCACCTGTTGGCAGCTCAGCTTGGGCACAGCTCACTGGCCCATGTGGGAATCGAACCGGCAACCCTGTTTCTCAGGCTCTTAACCAAGTGAGCCACTCAGCCGGCCCTGTAATAAATTATTTTTAATTTAAACATTCACCATATTGTTTTGTCATACCTCATATGTATTTCTTTATATATAACTACATATGTGTATACCACATCTACTTTATTCATATATCGACAGAGAAGATAGATGGTCTTAAAGAGTGACAGATCATTATGATCAACTTATGCTAGTAGGGACCACCGTTGCAGGCGCTTTTTCAGAGTGGTCATTCTTGGAGCAGATCAGCACAGTTGTTGGCCTCTAATAGTATAGGTCTAGTCCATGCTTTTTCTTCTGTACAAACCTCAGGAAGCTTGTGTTCCTCTGTCTTGCTTCAGGGGTATGTCACTCTCTGGACATAACTTTACAGAAATTTTTTACCGTATCACCATTGCTGTGGATATCAGCTAATTTATGACACTAATGACATCATCCTGATGGACCTTGAGAACGGGAAGTAGCAGATACCCGAGATGACTTGGTAAGCATAATGTTTCTGCCAGAGAGCAGATAACAGATCCCATGAATACATAGGAACCTATTTACTCAGTGAACTATCTAGGAATCTGGGGTTTGTTGAGATAGTCCTTACAAAATAAAAGACAAGTTACTGTATACCACACTCTCTACCACTAAGAAAGAGACATAATACTTGGGGGGCTTCTTTAGACTTGGGTGGTAAAATGTACCATATTTATTTAGGTGCATTATTTTCACCTGTTGCTGGGTCACTTGAAAGCTGCCAACTTTAGGAGGAACCATACAAGGAGAGCAGGTTTTCTTACTGGATCAGGCTGCAGAGTAAGTGGTTGTGCCTTTGGCATTGGATTTCTGAAACAAAGTTATGTTCTCCTTCACCAAATAGTTATTCTCCTTATGAGAAACAGCTCCTGGCTTGCTCCAGGGTCTGGTGAAATTGGATGCCTGACCATGGCATACCAGATGACCATGATATGTAATCTACCCAGCCATAAAATCAGGTGGCCAGCAGGACTCCATCATCAAGAGGAAGTGACATATGTGGCCTGGGTCCAAGCAAACCCTGAAGACATAAGTAGGTTGCCTGAGCAAGTTGTTTAAATTCCATATTGAGTTCACCGAGGAAGAAAAAATCTAAAGCCCAGTTTACAGCCGGCTCCAGCCAGAAGTGAATTGCTGAGGTGTTCCAGCCTCCTCTGAGATGGCCTAAGGAATCTAGAAAAGGGAAGAGCTCCCAGAGGCCCTGAAGTAAAGACACACCACACCGATTCTTGGGTGTTGGATAATGGTTTAATCTGTTGACCAGAGACTTGAAGGAAACAGAATGAAGACTTATTGACAGGAAGTTTTGAGGAAGACGAGTGTGGACAGATTGACCAGAATGGCTTTAGAGCATAAGGTTATCTGTGTCCCAGATGAACATTCATCAAAAGGGCCTTCCTACGGAAGAAACTCTCAAAACCTGGGGGGCAGTGCAGCTCCTGCAGCTCTCAGGCAGCCTCATTCCCCAGCCATTTCTGGGCTTACTCAATGGTTTAGGAGAAAACTGGTCCAGCAATGCGGACTGCTCCCTCCCACGACCAGCCTCTACTCTCAGTGCTGAGCTCAATTTGCGAGCCTCAGAAACAGCCCTAGCTGGGCAGAACCTGACTTTTTGAAGGGACAAGCTAGCTCTCTCTGGCAGGGACATTACATTGGTCTATGTGTTAGTCAGGGTTGGCTAACTGCCTTAACAAACAATACCAACATGTCAGGTTCAATAACATAATAGTTTCATTCTTGTTAATCTCACAGCCCAATGCTAGTCAAAAGTGACTTCGCTGCATGCAGTCTTTGAGGGACCCAGGCCCCCTCTAGCGTGTGACACTGTCCTCATTTATGCTCTCTTAGTTCAGCTAGAGGATGGGAAAGAAGACAGAGTGAGCGTTGCGTGGGATGTTTTAATGAGCAATACCCAGAAATGACTGTAGATCCATTTTCACTCCATCCTATTGGTGACATTTCAGCCACATGGCTCCACCTGACCATAATCCTTCCCTCCTACTCCTTCCCCTCTCCCCAGGCCGCCACTGATCTGCTTTCTGTCTTTGCAAATATTTGGCGTTTTCATGCAGCAGGTACTCTGTTTTGCCTGACTTCTTTCCCTCAGCATAATCGTTTTGAGATTCGTCCACGTCGTAGTGTTTTTCCATAGCTCATTCCTTCTCATTGCTGCATAATATTCCATTGTATGGAAGTACCACAGTTAGTTTTTCCATTTGACGTTGATGAGCAGTCATGACAAACATTACTCATGCTTTAAATTAGCTTACTGTGCTGCTCTGAGAACTGGAAGGAAATATATTTAAATCATGTATACAATGTACAACATACAGAAATTACATCTTTTTTTTTTTTTTTTTTTTAGCTGAGCCATCCTGCTACCTGTTGGCAGCTCAGCGGCTGCTCAGCTCGGGCTGGACTCAAACCGCTGTTGCTCAGAGCTCAAACTCTTGAGCGAGCTCTTAACCAACTGAAGAAATTACATCTTTGAATTTATATACATTTTTGCATGTTAACTGAAAAATGTGTGGGAGCAGGGCTTCATGGAGATGCAGCCACACAGGGCCCCGCAGTCAGAAGGGCTCTGGGCTTGGCTGTCACCTTCTTGAAAAAAAATTTTTTTCCCTAAGATTTTATTGGGGAATTGGGAGAGGGGAACAGTGTTGGGGAATTGGGGAAGGGGACCGGCCAAGTTGTTGTTCTTCAATCTTCGTTGTGGAGGGCGCCAGTCATCATCTGGCTGCCTGTCAGCCGCTCGTGCCTCTAAACTCAAGGTGCCGAGTTCAATCTTAGTTGCGGGTGGGCGTAGCCACCATCCCATGCGGAAGTTGAACCAGCAGCCTTGTTGTTAAGAGTGCATGCTCTATCCACTGAGCCATCCAGGTGGCAGCTCAGCTCAAGGTGCCGAGTTCAGTCTTAGTTGCAGGTGGGCATAGCCCACCACAAACAAGCAATCTTATTGTTACACCAGCTGAGCCATCCTGCCACCTGTTGGCAGCTCAGTGCAGCTCAGCTCAAGTGCAGCATCACTGGCCCATGTGGGAATCAAACCGGCAGCCCCATTGTTCAGAGTTGACGCTCTTAAGCCAACTCTTAGCCAACTGAGCCACTTGGCCATCCCCTGAAATTTTTAATAATGTTTGAGCAAGGAGGCCATGTTTTCATTTTGCACTGGGCGCTACAATTTGTGTAGCTGTGTGAAAGGGTATGCAGTTTTGTTTATTTATTTATTTATTTATTTATTTATTTATTTATTTAAGATTTTATTGGGGAATCAGGGGAAGAGGAACAGACAAGTTGCTGTTGTTTTTTGTTCTTCAGTCTAGTTGTGGAGGATGTTGCTTCACTGGCCCAAGCTTGGCACCATCATTGTGCTCTTCCCGGGCAAGGCAGATCAGTCGCCGGCCTCTGGATGGCCGCTCACGGCGGCTGCTGGCCGCTCACGCTGGCTGCCGGCTACACATGGTAGCTTATGGCAGCCCACTGCAGCAGGGGACTGCAGCCTATGCGGTCGCCGGTGACTCACAGCAGCCCAGCTCCAGGTCGAGCTGTTGTTCACCATCTTAGCTGTAGAGGGCAGTGTCACTGGCCCTCATATGTGGNGCAGCCCAGCTCCAGGTCGAGCTGTTGTTCACCATCTTAGCTGTAGAGGGCAGTGTCACTGGCCCTCATATGTGGGAGCCGAATCGGGGCCCTTTGGCGTCCCAAGCCAGTTCTTAACCAACGCGCCACTTGGCCAACCCGGGTATGCAGTTTTATAAATTGCTATTAAGTGTCATGCAAGCAAAACTTTGAAGGCTACTGACCTCAACCTGCAGGTCTGTAAGGAGTTGGGCTTGGAACACAAAATCCTGGGTGGTTTGCCAGTTCTCCTACTTTCCACTTTGTGATTCTCTTTCCACTCTCACCCCAAAACAACCAGTACAGAACTAACTACAGACATGCCTCGTTTTATTGTGCTCCACGTTATTGTGCTTCACAGATGTTGCTTTTTTTAAAAAATTAATTGAAGACAAGACCCTGCCTCTACCAGCAAAAGTTGTTGGGGTCTGGAGTCAAACGCGCAATATCTCCAAGGTATGCCTGTAATACTTGAGTAGAGAGTAGGGAAGGAGAAATTATGTTTCCCATTTGCACAGGTGATGTTGGGCACCCTGGGACCGTATGCATGCAAACACACACGCACGCATGCACACGTGCTTGTGCTTCAGCCAGCCCCCATGCATTTACTGAGTCCTACCCAGTTCACATGCTTGTCCTGGAAGAGCAGACTTCCGGGAAAAATTGGTTCCACCAGAGGAAGGCAGATCAGGGCCCTTTCCTCTCCCTGAGTCCTGAAGTGGGGCCTCCGCCTAACTAAGCACTTTCTTAGCACTTTTTGAGAGAGGTAACCAATTCTGCTCCCTCCTCCCTCAGTCCTCCACTCTCTAAACTTGAGAATGGCCTTGCACCTTTGGGCATGAGGGCTTGGGGCAGACTCACCACACTTCCCCAGGAAGGGAGAGGGGGTTTAGAGGAGAGGAAATAAGGCTGGAGAGGAGGACAGATGGGGTCCAGTGTGAAAGATCTTGAATCCCAGGGTGAGAATTGGACCTTCCATGAGGGTGATGGAGCCTGGGCACAGGGGCGGAATGAAACAGAGTTCCACGAGGCATTCCAGAGACTAAGCATGTTGGACAGTGACCATGTACAATAGTCTGAACTGTGCAGTTTTAACAGCTACATTTTCTAGGAAGTAAATAGAAAATTGCTAGTAGATTGCTTTATCAGAGTAACTGGTAATTGCTCCTAATCATTAATTAACTGGGCAGGAACAATTGAACCTGAGTTACAGGGCCATGAGGGAAGACTAACCAGGGGAAGGAATGAAAACTTGGCAGACAGTGTTGGAAGAACCTGAACCTGCCTGGGGTGTTTGGGCAACAAATCCTTCAAATGGAGGAGAGACTTCCTCCTGTTCCCCACCCCATTATCCATCTGACCTCCAAGTCTTATTGACTCTGCTTCCAAAATATTTACTCCAGCAAGAAGGAATTTCTGTTCATAAATTCACCGTGCAAAAAAATATAAAGTTTTCTATAACTCAAGTTAATTTCTATTTTGAACTCCCATTCTGCTGGAGTGGAAGAAACTTAATATCAACTAATTGAGGGTTCTGCCCCTTCCCTGGGGTTATATTCAAGGCCCAGAGCCTCATCTAGTACTCAGCTGTGTGTGTTGGAGGATCGAGTTCGCAAGGTCATCCGTGCACACAGCTGTTCATGGAGATGCCATTGGTCCCCACTGGTTGCTGGTGAGACCTGGCTGTTCTCACCACACATCTGCTAGAAACCATAGCTCTCTTCCCACCTGCTGCCACTCTGGCCTGTGGGAATCTGGCTGAGGTTAGCTAAGGTCCTTTGTGCCTAGACGTATCTCAGAGCCATCTCCAAGCCGGCTTTTGCTGCTCCCCAGGGCAGC